TTCTTGCTAAGATAAAAATCTCCTCTTCACGCTTACTGTCGCAACATATAAATGTTTTCGTGTGCTTTGTATCTGTTTTACTGTTTTTCTTCTAACAAAAGTAGGAAGTTTATGCAAAGTAATGTGATTATTTTGTATGTTGTACATTCTGAGGTCTATTTCAGTATATTATTTGTTAAGCATCAATGCGTGTCAGTAAATCGAAATTCACTGTATTACAAATAAGTATGTTTATTGATATTTCAGGACTGCAAGTTCGAGTTTCATACAATGAACAGTTAAGTGTGATTTGAAAGAATGATAAATTAGGGAGGATGTGATAAATGCAGCAGCTAAAGTTGTAAGGATATCTTACTTTATTACTTATTGATTAATTAGCAATTGCTGAAGATAATGGATGAAAACATGAAAGCAACACTTTCTGAAGGGAAGTTCTTTCATGCTAAAAGTATACCAGCAGCATCGAAGGGCAATCCTGTTTTTACTAATATCAGTACTGCTAATACATCCGTTGATGGCATGTATGTGGTCGAAAATTTGCAAGAAGCAGATATTTTAAATAATGATATCTTAGATTTAAAGGACAAAGGGCAACAAATGAAGCAAATATTTGGTAACTTTTTAATCCTTTGTATGGAAGTTATTTTTAAAAACTATACAGCAATTAATCAGCAGCTCTATGTAGCATTTAATCTATCTATGAATATTTATTACACGTGCTGTTGGCTTACACGCAGTCAGATATGCTATGATATCATTTCATGATGTTGAGTGTAGTACAATTTGACTAAACTTAGCAACGAAAGTAGTCAAGAAGGCGTAGATATGGAAAAGTAAAAGAAGAACATTCAATTACATTTATTATGCATTTCAACAACTTTAAATAAATTAGTTTTGTTATATTCGTCCATTTTGATGGGTAAGTCTTTTAATTTTTGACTAGCAAGCTGAAGTTATTGTTTTTGTTATTAGAATCTATCATTTTTCGTCTTCGTAAGAGCAAATATTGGGGATTATTTGACGGAATTAATATCGGGTGCGGTTGTAATTTCATAGCAGTGAGTATTCTTCTCATTTTCAAACGCAGCTGTCGGTGCAGTAATCTTTTGTTCTTCTTCTTCATATAAGTCATTTTTTATTGTTCCTAGTGTGAAGTGAGCATTAAAAATGTTTTAGAAAAAAATACTGATTTATTATAGCTATTTAGAAGGTGAAGATTGTGATTTGACTTTTAGTGGTATTCATCTTAATTTTTCATTTCTTAATGTTTGTTATGGTGTCTCTAATAGTTGCTGAATGAAGCGTTAAAAAATTCGTAGATCAAAATTGAAGTATAGAACTTAGTAAGGACGGATCGTTAGAATTCTGAGCAGTGAGAAATATTAATACACTTCTAGAAGATAGCAGTAGGCCTTAAACAGATGATTAAGAATTGGTAGTTGCAATTTTTGTGCACTTTGAATAATTTCTGATTTGATGGTTTTCGCACTACTTCTTCTCTTTTTTGTACGCGTTTTAGGGTACAATTAATTCATTCCTTAGTTTGCAATTTTCACTTACGTTATTTACATTTTCTTTTTAACACTAAGGAATATTGGTAATGCTAAACAACTTTTGAATATCTTTCTCTCTCTTTTTCATACTGTCTTTTTATATTTATTTTGTAAATTGATTCAGCTTGTGTTTTCAAATATTCAAGGACCATACAGTGAATTTTGAAGTTCGAACTGCAAGGTAGTTAGTTAATGCGTTCGGAGAAAGCTTAAGTGTAATTCCGTAAAAGTCGCCATTTGCTCCAATTTGAATGTCCCAATTTTCAAAGTATTAATTGATTGATTGCTTAAAAAATTATAAAGCAAATGTATGTATTGGTAGGTATGTCGGTAACAGATGATCTCTTGCGATAAAATTTTTTTACACACAAACTCTTTCTGCTTCTTATTTCATGGCTAGAAGTAGGAAAATAATTTTGAAGACTTTTCTAGATTCTTGTAGAGCAAAGTTGATCATTATGATGAACCCATAAAATAAATTATCCACTCGCGATTAAGTTTCAAAGAAAAATGATACCCGTCAAAAGTGAAAAAATGGAAATAAATTGTGGTGCTGCTGAGTATAGTGTTTCAAGTTGTATTGCGAATTAAGTTTTATGATTTGAAGTAATATGATTTGTTGCAGCTATAGAGATTTGCTAAAATGCGTGCATAAAGTTTATTTATTTTTTGCACCTAAAAATATTGTCAAAAGTAGCGTTGATTTTTTGCTAAAAGTGTATAGTTGAAAGTGTTTCAGCGCAATTGGTTGATTTCTTGCTAGGTTTATACTTTTACGATTATCATTAAGTATATAGTGCTAGCAGAAAAACTACCATTGCTCTGAAGAAAGCAAAATACAAAATATCAAATTTGCTACTTCCTTTGTTATTCTCTGCAGTACTAACGGATTTGCATAATGCAAATAATATATCTAAAACTGCTCTGATTGCAACTAATTGATAAAATAGTGCAACGAATGATTATTGATTTGGGTGAGTTATTCCTTTCTTTTTCTCTTTTTAATTATTTGCTCGCTACATATGTCATCAACTGAAAATGTGAAGTTTGGTTGCTTTTCTGGCACCGCAGTGTGAGAAGAGAAGAACCAAGAATCAAGAACCTACGGTTGATATTTGACCAAAGGGCATGAGAAAACGATATTTATAAAAATTATACTTACATATAAATGTCGTATTATTTGTTATTTATTCAGAAAGCTATTGTCATATTCATTACTTGCAATGATAAAAAAATATTTGAAGTAATAGATTTAATTTAAATTTTTGGTTATTGTAGTACCGAATCAGATTTTTGTGAGGTTGAAAAACTTGACCTCATAATAATTTTATCTATAAGAATTGTGCCGTTACTCTACTATATTCGTTTGACAGATCATTGAAAGCGCCAAGTAATTATTTGCTCGAACAAAACTCACTTCCATTTACATCAGCTACAAAATATCTTATTAAGGCTGGAAATATCTGTATTTGATGCTTGTATACAAAAGAATTTATTGTATTTTATTCAAGCAAATCACTTATTTATTTGCAAAGGTTCATCTTTTTCTCTGAATAATATTATTTGGACAGCAAACATGGAAAAGCTAAATTACTACTGATATTTGGTTAAGCACAACTGACTTAGTTTCTGAAATTTTTGCATGCGTTTAATTCTGTATTAATTGCCTCTTACCCATATCCTTCATATTCTGTGATAAATTCTACTGCTAACAAATCATAACGTCTTAAAAATAAAATCTTATATCTTCATTGTATCACAATACTTTGTTATTATGCAGATCCACCTTGATAAGCTCATCACATGAAGTTGGTTTATAAATAAAAAATCATTTTCGGTTCTTTTTGCCCGTATTTTCTATTGCTTTATTTTCTAATTAGTTTGCTTTAATATTTTGATCATTTTATACCATTCATCTTCAGTAATAATTCAAAAAAGGGAGGTTACAATTGAGTAGTTATGAATAGAAATATTGCGTTGCAGTTTTAATTAAATTGCTACCAAATTTTTACCTATTTATGCATCTGGCGTTAATTTTTTAGTCCAGCAGACATATCTCAGATTGTTGGTCAATGCGTAGCCAAGCATGAAAAATACTTTAATTTGACACTGTCAGATTTATACTTTTGCCTTATTAGTTATTTTTTTTTGCAATTCATTAATACTTTGGTTTGTTTCGTCACTTATCGTACTTTCTAAATGTTTTATTAAGAAGTTATTATGTATGCTTTGTGAGCAAAGTCTTAATAGTTACTGCTTTTTTCTGCGCATAATTTCATTTGTACTTCATGATACTTTTTTAATTATAATCTTGATGTATTTAATACATGCCAGAAGACTGACTCTTATAAGTAATGCAATCTTTCTTGTTCACCTTTTTGAGAAATATTTTGCAAGGTACTAAATTGACTATTGGCTAAAGTGTAGCATATTGCTAGTTTATTTCTAAATTGTTTTTCATAAATTATAATTGCAAAAGTGAAGAAATCTCACGCTATACCAATTTTCGAAGAATGCAAACATGAAATTGATAATAAACTTTATGCTTGAGATAATTTAAGAAAGCTGCTTAGAAGATAACAGTGGTTGCTGCGTGAGAAAATATGCTACTCAAGCAATTCTTGTTACTCTTGTATTAAAAAAAATGAATATTTAAAAAAGTTGTTTGATTTTCTCGTCATTCAGTCAGTTACAAATTGGATTAGATTTTAAAATTTGACCTGAGCTTTATGTTTGATGATAAGCAGTAGAAAAAAAATGCTTTGAATGAAGCACCATGCTAGAAGCATAAGTCTTCCTCTTGAAATCACCCTAACAAGCTGTAGAAGTTATCGCTATCTAATTTTTACTGGTATTAAGTATTAGTAATATTGTATCTGAGGCGTAGAAGTAAATTACAGTGCAATACTGATTGCCATCACCATTTTGGGAATTAATTATTAACTCTTATTATCGTATAATGGATCCATAACATAGCATGTTTTGTAAATGTTTTTTCAAATTTCGAGCTCAATATTCTCATTTTTGAACAAAAAGAGAACAGATTTTGTCAAATAAAGCTGGGCTGAAGTCTTGTTAATTTATCAAATCAAAGATATATTGCAGTTCATACATAAAGTTGATACCTCAGCATCATTTTGCATGGACCTTCAGAGGTATTATCTCTTTACGTATATACCATGGTAGTAATTATCGAAAGATTCTAATTTGTTATTGCTTCCCCTTGATATTACAAAAGATTACAAGTGAAAAATGTATGATCTGATTGTCATCATTTGCTAGAAGTGCAAGAAACGATAATTACAAAGAAATGAATATTTCATTAGCAATCTTCTGCAACTTTAAACTTCAATTACATCTTGTTATCAATAATGACCTATCAAAACAACAAGCATCAGACAGTTTATATGGTGTGAGGGGAAGTTTAAAAATTATTACACACCTTCGTGAGGGATCAATTTTTATAGAACGTGCAGCTACTCTGCGTGATATCAAGTGTGCCAAATAACAACAAAAATTTCAATTCCGAAATCTGCTCTTATGTTCCGAATGGTCAAGATATTATCTTATTGTGTGGCTTAATTTTTCCATCTGCGAAAATAGACTTACTAATCAAAAATTATTACTGAAAAAAACACGTGTGGTAGAGTTATTTTAATGTAAAAAGGAATTGAGTAAAAATCTTTATTTGGAATGAAGATGAGTTGTTATCTCATCCTTTGTGCCAAATTGTGAATATTTTTTACAGTATATAACTTTTATGCTAATGACTAATTATTGATTGATTGAATTATAATTATAAATACTAAAAAGTCAAAATACAAATTATACCTAATCAATATGTTTATGTTTATAGTTCAGATGTAAAATGCGCACAGATTATGAGTGAAATTGTAAGGGAGAGTAATTGATGAGTTTAGTTAATATTTGCTCTCATATGAATCTAATTTGCTGACTTAATTGTGCTTGTTTTTTGATAGCCGGAATATTATTTCATCCATTCATACCTGCGAGAAGTGATAAATAAAGAAAGCAAGTGGAAAGGCCTGTTGTCCTTGTTATAGTCATCGTTCCCCGTTTAGATGGGAGTTGATTGTGCTGTGGTTGAAATTCATTTTGACATACATTCAAAATGATGTTGTGCAAGGTATCATTAGAGGGTAAAGGGGTGGTGAGTACAGTGTGCTTATCTTGCCACCTTCCTATCATTTCTCATAACTAATATTTCAAGTATATCTGCCTGAAGATGTTTGTCACATCAATTCTTATCAATAATAATAACATTGCTCTTGCTGTTACTCATCCTGACATTGACTTTGATACTGATTGTGTTGATGATAATGATTGTGATGATGTTGCTGAAAGCAGTAGTAGTTGTACTAGTACAGGTACTGCTTAACCACTTTCTAAACATTCACTGATACTATTATTTTATTTGAAGTCTCAAATCTAGAATTAGTGATTAATTTTGCATTTTCATTTCTTGTTTTTTAGAAATAAAATGAAGCATACAAAGATAACTCAATATAAGTGCGCGATAAAATAAGCAGCTTAATATGTACCCAATTTCTCAGTGTAACATTTTCTGTGCTGGGACTAGCTTTCTTTGTTTTCAAAATTTGCTCATAGCTAATGAATAATTTCTTTAATTTACTGAACATTGTTTGCACAATTAGCTCTTCATGGAAAGCTTATTACTTCAGAAACTTGCATCAGTATTTCATGAAGATCAAAGCAGTTTCTCAAGAAATTATGTGAAAGACAAAATTTGAAGAGTAATTTTTGCTCTGAAAGGTGAAAGAGACATTAAAAAGACTGAGTGAGAATAGATCTGTCTGTAAAGTATCATTATCATTACATAGAACTGTAATAAGTTTTCAATTTCTCTGCGTTACAAAAAAATCTAATTCAGAGGAAGTGAGTGAGGAAGCAGAAGCGACATCCAGTGATGAATCAGAAGATCCAGAATTTCGAGAACTGGAAGAACGTTCAAAAATCGTTGAAAAATATGAAAGAGTTTGTTGTCTTATGTTAAAAATTTTTAAACTTTGCTAATTTAATTATTTGCTGAATAGACTGGAAACTTCTATCTTTATGTTTGACTAATATTAATTATTCTACCTGGTTAGCTTACTCTAAATCTCTCTGGCCAGAAAAGTTCACCATTTTATTCTTTTTGTCAATACGTAGATCGTTAGCTTTTAGCGTACTTCTGCTTCTTTCCTAGCGAATTAGACTTTGCTTTGTTATTTCGTACTTTCAGATGAAAATATATCTTCATCTTAAGAGGCGTGAGTCATCGTAATTAGTCTTGTTGATTTATTTATTTATTTATTGAAAAGAAATTTTTGATGACTATGATCATTTCATGAGTTTTTGAAAAATTCACTGCAGTCATAAAAATATATTGTTTTTAGGGACCTGAGCAGGATGTGGAAGAATGGGAAAATCCAGATCTTGAATTATATAAAGTTACTGACCGATACGGATTCATGCAGTATGTAATGTTTATCAATGTTAACAACTTTTAAATTTCTGTAGAATGTTCTGGAAGGAGTAATGCAATAAAAAATTATGTGAGAAGACTGATGAGAATAAATATGATTGTTAGTCTTGCAAGTCATTCTGCATAAAAGTTTTAAGAGGGAAAATTATCACTCATTGCTTGCACCGGCAGTAAAAAAATGCAGAAAGAAGTAATGAGTTGTTGATGACATTTAATTTGACTTTATATTATTTATAACTGGTTTCATCAACTAAATTTTTAAGGTATTCAAGTTTAAAATTTTTGATTATTTTAGCAAAGATTTGCAAGAAATTAGTGCCCAAGAGCTAGCGGAGAAAAAACGAATGGCTAAAGAAATATCGCGTGAACAGAAATGGTTAAGAATGATATCTCAGTGGAGTGATAAAAAAGGTGTCAATGATAAGTTAAGAAAACGACTTTGGAAAGGTGTTCCAGAGAAACTCAGATCACTGGTAAACTTTTACAATCTTTTTAGTGTAATATTATTAACAAAATTTTTGTTGAATGCTTTCTAGGATCTTTTAATTTCGTAGCTAACATCTGCTGAAAATAGTGACAAGTTCAAATTGATTGAGCATAATATATTAAAGGTTTGGACACGTTTACTTGAGATTGCTCGTTATCAACAAGAACGAAAAAGTAATGTGTATCGTGAGTTATTGATGCGCGCAAGACTTATTTCAAAAGATATTAAACAAATCGATTTAGATATTAATCGGACATACCGAGATCATTTGGCATTTCGACGAAGATACGATGTCAAGTAAAGATTTCATATTCTGTAGTCGTTTTTTTTTTTATTTTAATCTGTTCAGCTAAAGTATATTTATTATACTTGCAGCTTTCATTTTTTATATGTTCAGGCAGCAATCGTTATTCAACGTGTTAGCAGCATATGCAATGTACAATACAGAAGTTGGTTATTGTCAAGGTATGAGTCAAATAGCAGCGCTTTTTCTTATGTATATGGATGAAGAAGAAGCATTTTGGTGCCTACATTCATTACTCGTTGATAAAAAACATTCCATGCATGGTAAGACTTAAATGATAGATACATTTATGATATATTCTTAGAATTCATTCTAATTTAATCATTTTGAAGAGTTTTTTCATCTCTTATATACGTTTCTAATATGACGTTTCTATTTTGATGGAAAATGAAATAATAAATTCATCAGCTATCAATGTTTTGAAGGATTTTTTGTTCCTGGCTTTCCAAAATTGGTTCGATTCCAAGCACATTATGAGAAAATATTGCAAAAATATCTCCCTCGTTTAAAAAAGCATCTGGTAAGTCAATTTAGTTCGTCATTTCAGATTAAAATATTCCAAAAAAGCTTTCTTATGTTTCCTCATCTTACAATATCTCTATTTTCTTATCACGAAATTTATTTGATCTCTTAGCTCTTTATTTATGCCATGATATTATTTCAGCAAATTCTTATCCTCGTTCTAAAATTTTTTGTTCCTCTTTACTCTAGGATAAAACTGGTATTCCACCAATTTATGTAACGAAATGGTGGTTTGGTTGTTTCCTTGATCGAGTGCCATTTCCACTGGCTTTACGTCTATGGGATGTCTTCTTATTGGAAGGAGATGTGATATTAATTGCGATGGCCTACAATATTATGAAAATGCATGAAAGTAATGCATTAAAATTTAAACCGGATGAGTTTCAGCACAGATTTGGAAAATTGAGGAAGTTTTAGTGACTGAAAAATTATTTTTTGCAGCTTGCTGAAATCGTTCACAATTTTCCCAATTATTTCAGAAACAATTCGTAAGATGCAAATGGAAAACTTCATGGAATATATTCAAACTGTAATTTCACAAGATTTTGGCTTTTCAGACGAGGATACCATGAAATCATTACAAGAATGTCTTAGGAAATTACAAGTTCGTTTTTTGATTTTTCGAATATGAGCGCTGTTCAATGGTAAGCTGATTTTTAAATCATGTAGCATTAAACCTATCATTAAATAAAAGATATCATTCTTACACCAAATATACGTTCATGCTAATATTAGTATTAATATTTTAAATAGTTTGCATCAATGTATTTTGGTATTTGAGAATGATCGGATGTTGCTGCCAACTTTATTTAAATCAAGGGATGCACTCGAAATACCCACGAAACCATTTGGACCAGTTCTGAGTCGTTCAATGATTGATATACGTTTAGATATTGCTGAAATACAAAGTCGCTGCTCTCGAGCGAACTGTAATTAGTTTTAATAAATTAAAAGAAGGAAATTCACGCTTTCAAATTGTAGGCTTAGAGAGCAAAACCGAGTAATTTACAGTAGTCATATTGGAACGATAGAAAATGACATTTAGTACATTTTTGTGTAGTTATAGTTTTTTCCTGAAGAATGTTAGATGTAGTTCGTTGAAAATCTATTTTTGATCTTCTCTAGCTGTTGCTGGACGATCGCCGATTGTGATACGTCGAAGACGTTTACCACCGTCGCCAACGCCTATCTCGAAATACAAACTGTCACAAATATCTGTTCCAGTTAAAGAGCCTGTCGTTTCTGAAAATTCGTACTCAAGCACTTCTTCTGCTAGTACAATAAAGGATGTTTATTCTAGAGGACAACGAAATGCAGTTGAAATTGTTACTGCTGCAACAAATAGTAGGGACCTATCATCACTTTATTCGGAAAGTTCATCACGATCATCTCAAAAAGAGAGCACTCCAATGCCTGCGCCACGAAATGAAGTAAAAACAATGCGAACACTGGCTGTAGATGAAGTATGGCGTAATATGCGAATAGGTGGGGATAATTCAGAGTCACCATCACAAACTTGTAGCAAAGGTAGTATTTCTTTATTACAGGTGTTCAGAAAATGCTAGCATTTCTTTTGAAGGAACAAGAAAGTAAAGGAATTAGTTGTTTTTTTTATGTTCAAGCTGAAGTAATTAATGTTTCCTTTTATCATTGTATTTCTGAACAGACCGGAAATTTCTTCTTATATCAGACAGATCTGAAGCCAAAAAGCAGCAGTTAAAGATATGTCAGCAAAAACCAACGAAGCTTCTGAATGGAAGACTGGCAACTTCATTAACCGAGCAGCAGTTGCGTCAATCAGTGGTTATTTTTGAACTCTCCTCTTTGGGTAGTAATGCCATTTGGTCTTTTCAAATTATTGTAAAAACAAGGGTTTTCAGTTTTTGATCATCAGCAATTTTATTTCATTTTGTCTGCAATAGACGAGTTAAAACCACACCTTTATAGAATATACTCAAATGGTTGGTAAATAAAAGGAAAGTTTTGCTTATCAGTAATTTTATTGTGTTGGAGTAAACTTTTATTATGTATTAGTGTCTCTCTATTTTAAGATCCTTGTTTATCTCTTATTTTTTTTAATAAGAAAGAAAAAACTGTATAAATGTGATGATATATTGTTATAAAATATTTCTGGGAGAGCATGCTTCTTATTCTGCCGATAAAGTCGTATGTAAATAGTAGACGATTTTGTAACCCTTTTTTTCTAAGATGAAAATTTCAGCGACATCAGCAGACCCGTAATGAACCATTTGTGGACTATGATGATTTGATCACGTGTAGCGAATGTGAACACTCAGAATCAGTGCATGCCGATACTACAGCAGCTACTGCTTTGAGAACTTCTCCTTTCCGGATTGCGCCTTCTAGGTTTCATAGCCGCCGTGGTTTCGGATCACTCCAATGGAATGATATTGATAGCTGCTCAGAATCATCAGTTTCATCGAGTTTCATAGAATCTGATCATACATCGTCAAATTTAAGGTTTGTTTTTCCATAAGTGTTAAAATTTTAATATTAATAATTATTAATAAAAATAAATGCGCTCTACATTTGGTGCGTAATAAAATGTTATTTTTGTGAATGAAGTTAAGACAATTTTCAAAATTAATAGCTACTAAAAAGATTATATCTTCTCTGTGGTCTTCAGTTTGCATGACATGCTGAACTTCATTATTGATATCTTGCCGTTTACATTGTATAACTATTTTTCAAGAAACCGACCAGATAATGACGACAAGTCTCATTTCGTATTTGCACGTGGTAGACGTAGTAGCTTTTACGATAATGTGCCATCATTCTCTCCTAATGGTTCAGTCACGGAAGAACTGCAACGAATAGAGTTAAATACTATTCAAGGGCCTGGTGATGACGATTTAGATTATGGAAATCTTGTTAAGACCGGTGCTTTCACAAATCGTTATCTTCGTACTTATGATATGTCAACATTGCCGCAGCTGAACGAACAAAAATTCAGAGAGGTATTTCTAAATTTGCATTTTTTTTCAGAAAATTATTAACTTTATGAAGAATTAAGTGAATGAATTGTCTGGACTCGTTGTATTTTCTGCATTTCAAAATCGTATATTTTATATGAAAAGCCAATAGTGATTAAGGGACAGTAATATTCATTCACTAAAAATGTAATTTGTAGGATTCAGTATCCAACGAAACAAAAGGTTTTATTTGTGTCACCTTTATATAACTTTTTTTTGTACAGAATTGATTGAAACAGCAACAAATGTTATTGACAGATAAAAATGCAATAATATATCACAAAATTCTGGCAGTTTCTTCTCGTAATTTGTTTTTACTCATATTTGAAGGCTTTGAATCATATTTTTCCTTACTGTACCATAACTTTCGGTAGAACGATACAAGAGTACTTCATTTGCCCAACAATGTGACCTGTGTTAGAGTTGAAGACAATGTGAATGGGACATCGTTATCGCGTCAACAGCAAGAATTTTCAGATCACTCAGTCAAGTATGTACCTTTTCCTAATAATTTTACCATGTAAATGGAAAGATTAGTCGGTCATTCACGTCGGAAGTAGGTTTAACATGGAAAATATATAAATGAAAAAGTAATAAATGTTACACTTCGCATATTGAACATTGTGCGAGTTAATTTGCTATTTTATTTGAAATATATTTCCTTCAGGAAACAAGTACATAATATTGAATTAGTCATTAATGGCAATTACTAGTTCTATTCTTCCTGATAATTTTGTGGTGGGTTCACCGTTTATTCATCACAATAATCTTTCTAATTTATCTAATGTAGTCGGCAAACATAAGCGATACAATGCAACAGAATATGCAGTACGGCCAAACCGGTATGAGGTCGACCGATATGAACCTGGTTCTTATTGTACACGAAGTGGTAGATTTTGTTAAAGACATTGTCGAGATGTTCGATCTGATGATCATTGTTTTCCTCATGGTAAGTTTTGAGGAACCCCTACAGTCGCCTTTGAAACATGTTGACAACATGCATTCTACTCTAGACAGTTTAAGGTATGTCTGCTTGGTGTGCGCATATATTGTATAATTTACATTCAGGAAGTGAAGTTTATGAAGCTTTTGCAGGAATTTCATAGTTTAGATTTAGCATCGTTTTATTTTCGTTTAGTCTCAATGTGATGATCATATTTTATCTACTTGTCATCGTTTTGTGATATTCCTTCGTTTCTTTTTTAATTCTTCATAGTCTCTTGTTCTTGTATTGAAATCTCGCGAATTTTTCTCATTTAGTCATATTTCATTGGATTTCAAGTAAATCTAGTAAATTATTGCTCAATATTCTTGTTGAGATCTGATTGATTACTAGAAGTAATCTAAAAAATTTTATAGAATGTTTCACATTTGTTAAGTTGATGAGACAAGTTTGTTATTCAGAATAAAGCAGCAAGTTTGTAATACATAAATAAATTCTGTACTGAGTTTAGATGAGTTTTTTAGCTTTAGTTTGCTTCATCCTTTGATTTAAGTCTATCGATGTATTATGTAAAAGAATTGTGCATTTCTTGGAACTTTGTAGAAGGCTGGTGTTTGAAGATTCTTGACGTGTGTTAATAATTTGAGGGTAATAGTAATGCCTGTATACGGTACGGTGAGATGAGAAAGGCCGCTTTTAATCCTTTTTAATTTCCTCTGATCATTTTTTTTCATACTTTTGACTATATAGTGTATTAATTGGCTAGAAAAATAATTTATTGCAGTAGTTTAATGCGATTGCTTTGATATAATGTAAAGATGGTGTATTCGAGTAAAAACCTATACTTGCTAATTATTTCATCAGATATTTTAACTAAGAAAGCATTTGCTCTGAAAGTACGGGGTTTTATGGTATGCAAATAAATGAAATATTGTGTTGCTGTGATGACCTTAGGAGGTTTACTCACGTTTGACAATTTAAAGGTTCATTATTGTAAAATGATCAGTAATCTGTACTGGATCTGATTTTGTGAATTATTCGGATTTTAAGCAACAAGTGATTAGAAATACTAATGCTTTATTGAGATTGTTGTAGATTGGTGCTGACTGCACTTATTTGATTGTTGTATGCATGCAAAAGGGACTAATATACAAATGTTAATTGGTACTGTACTAAATATATACAAACATGACGAGAAATAAGCGTAGCACATAAATAAGTAAGGAAAATTAGGTAACACCTAAATTTGTTTTGGCTGCTGGAATGGATGAATGACACTAGATACAAGTATGCGAATTCGTTCAGCTGATATGAAAGGAAGAAAGAAGTAAATGAATATGAATGAGTCATTGATTGGCTAAGTGAGTCAGTTGGCTAGGCAAGCTTAAAACTGAATGACAGTGATAATGGATGGGTCATATCAAATGAAATAATAAATTTTACTTGTTTGGTTATGAGAATGGTCAGTTAGCATTTGCATTAAATGAATGGACTTATTGGCATTGAGCTTGAGCTTGTCATCAAGCGGTTCATTTGTGAAAATTGCTGAAATTGGTTTTGGTTACCAGCTGTTACCAGTCGGTTGTTGTACTGACTGCTAGAGACTAGAATGGTTTAGATGTAATGTGAAGTGGATAAATAAATAGACGGATTATTAGGTAGATATATAAATAGATGATGAATAGGTTCGGTAGGATAGATAGTTACAGTGTGAGGTTGAAGCTAACTATAATGAAGAGCATTCGCATGCTTTTGCTCAAAACTAAATAGCTGCAAATCTCGTTACAGATAAGTTTTTGAATGAAAATAATTATCAAGGAGATGGATAAGCTAGTTGAAATGGTTTGCATAATAATAGTTTGGGTGGAAGAACGGCTGTTAAAAACATTTGAAAGTTATCAAAAACGTTTTTTTTTAAATATAAAATAAAGATTTACAGGCGTTACAGTAGGCAAGAGAAACAAATAGACGTCATGCACATTTCAGATAGCTATTAGTCTTGCAACAACACAAAACGTATAAGTTTTACGTGGCATGTTCAATTTTTATACAAGTCTGATTATGAATTTTAATCATCTTTAAGAGTGGTAAATATTCTTTAATTTATAGCGTACATGACACGGAGAATGACATAGAATGATATTATTCAATAAAATGAAACCAAAGTCATGAATTTATCCAAAAGGAAGAGGCAGTTCTAAAGAAATTAATATGAACAATAGGAAATATCTTACGGCATTATTTATTCCTGAGTTATTTAATGATATGATCTGAATAAAGTCTGATAGTCTTGGTCATAGTTTGATACGACGATGGTGCATTTAAAATAGTAAAAACAGAAGTTACATTCAAAACGTGAAAAATTGGTTTGTAAAGATATTCTTCGCTCCTTTTTTCAGTCGTGATATTTTGACACTTTTGTTAAAAAATAAATAAGGCAAGTTATTTTTACTACAAAATTCAAATATTTGAAAATTTTTGCAATGTTGTATAACATTGCTCTCACAAGAACAATGCATAATTAGTCAAGCAGAATGGTCAAACCTGAATAACTTCAATAAAATAACACAGATAAGCTCATATAGCTTATGACTCGCCTAAAATGTCAACATTATCAGAAAATCGAGTACGTTTTGAGTTTGTCTGTTGTGGCAGGTGATGACATTCTGAATGCTTATCTGTAAGCAGTTAATTATTTTAATGATTGATAAACTTACACTGTACACTTCATCCAAACGAATTAATGCTTACATATTTATTTACTTATGAGTCAAGTTATAAGCAAGTTAGTCATCAACAACTGACATGTTAGTTATTCTACTCCACGAAATCTAATCATAGAAGTGCAAGTGCTATGAATTTCATATGATTGAAACAGAATTTTAGAAGACTCACTTATTTACTGAAACATCCAAAACAAACAAACAAATAAATATCTTGAATTTTTGAAAAGTAATAGTATTAATAGAAAATTGCTCTGTTAAATTTTTCCAACGTACTTGGTATAAAATATCTTAGCTGTTGCTGATTAAATTAATTGAAAAAGTCAGATAATAAGGGTTACAAGTTCATTTGACAAATTATAGATCTAAGCATTGAGTATTGTGCAAGTTTTTGAGTGAAGAAAATAAATGTGTTACCTGGTTCTATGCTTGGTTTTCTTCTACTTTCTTTTATTGTAGTTGGAACTGTATTTTCTGTCATCTCATCAATAGTACTGTTGTTCTTTTCAGAAGGATGAACTTTTTGAACCAAAGTAGTCGTCGTATTTTTGCTAATAACAGAATTATCACCATTATTACTGCTGTCAGTGTTAGTATTGTTATCATGCATGTCGTGATTAGACATGTCATAGTTGACCGAATTAAGTTCAATAAATGAAATAGACGTGCTGAATCGGGTTTTTTTGCTGTCTTTCCTCATCACTATGCCATCTTTGCAAGTGAATTCATAATCGTCAATCTCATACGCATCTTTTGCATCAATTTCGGCCTTTTTTCGGAACATTTCCGGCACTTTACCTATTAAAAAATACTGCAAATTAATGAGCAGTAATTATTTATTGCAAAAAAAAAATCTTTTGAAGGTGAACTTTGAGGTATGCAAAAAAAGCGTAATTGAAAGTTTTCGTCGCAATTTTTTTGTTTGCAATGCTTTTTATTTCGAAAAAAAAGCATTTTTTTTGTAGCAAATATATTACCAAAATGAGATACACTTATTCATATATACTGCAAAAAATTCATTAATTAAATTAAAAATTAAACTTTCATGATCGATAAATCACAAAGATCAAAGAATGATTTGATTTCAAGTTTATCACTATACTATGACTGCTACTAAATTTCTACACTTTTATTAGTTCAAAAAGTAGCAATGACAATAATAGTTTAAAATAATAAACAACAGATACTTACCTCTTGATTCTTTTGGTCCACAACAACAAACACAAAGTAGTAAAGCACTTAGTCCTAATGGTATCATAGCTATCGATAACGGTATCAGAATCTGTAAATTTGTATTGCATTGAATTTTTGAAAAAAAAAAAGACTATTGCAAGACTAATTTTGATGTAGTTGTCAAATCACACTAACACAATTTAAATAAGTGTGGTGTAAATGTTTTTCTTATCAAACTAATAGCTGTAACTTGAAATCAGTCTGTTATTAATTTTCATAAAAATAAAACAGCTAAAAAAATTGATGAATCAAACCAGTTCAAGTTGAAATTTGCTACAACTTCGTTGTTCAATGATAGATTCTCTTTTTGTTCGATTCAAAAGGATGTCAGAATCATTAAAGCTCGTTGTATAGCTAAAAAATAGAATGTTTTGAAACACTGTGCGGTTTAGTAAGTCTGTTAACCACTTATTACTTCTTTTTTTTGGTTTATGCTACATATTCTGTTTTCAGTCTCTTTTTTTTACAAAAGTAACTTATAGTTCAAAAATTTATTTTGTAAAAAACTTACAAATGCTCATAACAACTGCTGTGCTAATATGAATATAATAATTTGTGCAAGCTAATTAGAATAAAAAAAATTATAAGCAATTAATGCGCATTTTGCTATCAAACATTTGAAAATAAATTTTCACAAATTAAAGGTTATTGCAATGACATGTAGTAATCACATGCTTTAGAAACGTTAGCATGTTTGATTTTTCCATGAAACACTTGAATATAGTCCACGTCCATTTATTATTTACAACTAATTTTTTATATTGACATTAGTTTTTTAATTTCAATATTTATTCCATTTTTGTATTTTGTATTGCATTATATTAATAAAAATAGCTGATGCATTTTTACAATAATTACAAAATTTCAAATTCCTTTTTGTAATCATACTTTTAATTTGATTATCAACTAGTGATCATCGAACTTTTACTAAACGCCAAAAAAGTAGGACATTTTTTCTTTTACAATAATTTCATCTCATGTACTAATAAATACAATAATGAAAATTGCAAGTATAACTTACTTTATGGAATCGTTACAACCAATATCACAATTATGGCATATAGCCGGTGCTGCATTCGTTAAATATACAGCCGAAGCTAATATGACTATTAATATTAGTATTACTGTCGATTTTGACATTATTATGCATTTATCATCGATCTACAAGAACATAATTATTTTTGTGTGCAAAAACTTTCAAGTTTTCGCACTCCTTAATTAAGAGATTTCTAAAATATTAATTAAGACATGAAGTGAACAGTTGCTGAGATATGATTGAATCACACAGATACAATGTAGCAATCATTACTGATATGATTGATTACAATTATGAGAGATATGATATAATGCGTAATATTGGTAATAGATAATAAAAAAGTGAATCTTTCAATCAAGTAAGTATTTTTGTTATAAAATGATTTAATAGTGCGAAAAATGTAAGCAAGTAAGGCAACAATTTGTCAAAGAACAATGTAAGCTAGAATGACAAGAAAACTGTGGGAATTGCAATGATAATGAGCAGATAAATAAATGCTTGCAAATCAAATTGCAAGCATGTTTCATCCATTTCAAAATTATTCACTTGCCAATAATCTGCTAATTTTTTTTTCACTGATATAAATAAAAGAATTAGACGGTGACAGGAAGTTTTGAAACAAAAAAACTTGTCAGATAGAAGAATTTCAAACTTTTTCTTAGAAGGCAAAGAAAAAAACTTGTCTTGCTGCACGTTATGAAACGTGTAATTGGAGTATTCTCGTATCTCGTATCGCACTTGAATAAATTGAGGAATGACTGAATCATATCAAATATACACAAAGTAATTGTTAGAAAATAAAGTTGCTCAAAATATAAAATTATCATTCTGCATATTTTTGAAGTAAAATATTCTGATGTCACTTATATTACTCAATTAAAAATTTTTAACATACCAATAATATCTTATTGAATATCTTTAGTTTAAAATTTTGGCATTAATTTAAATAACAATTTGGTGTAAAATGGTATGAATATTTCTAATATTAGTTTTTATGATAATTAAAAACTTCACACAACATTGATCAAAGGTCAAATAAGTTCAATTAATTATTAATTGTCATATTGCATGTATTAAGTTTAAAATCGATTTCAAGTATCAAATTTTTTGACGAAGTAAAACATTAGTAATAATTAAGCAGTGCATAAAAGTTAAAAAATTTATATTACTGCTTTGATGAATGAAACTTTGAAAGTACCTCTATCAAAATATAACTCTTAATTGCGATTTTACAAACTATTTAATGATGGCTTTTTAATAGTTAGAATCGATTTCAAACTTTTGAAAATTATAATTAATAAAAAGTTTCAGTTTATTGTAGTAGCGAATTTTGACTGCTTTCACTAACTAACAGAAGAAAAAAGTAAAAAATTTCGCCAGATGAAAAAATTATTTCAAATCTTCAATTTTAATTTCTACCAGAGTTAGAAATATCAGCCAAAATGAATATTTTTTTTTACTTAAATGATAATCACTTTCAAATGATCGGAAATCCCAACAATGATTTGCCAAAAATTAGTCTTGAATAAAAGTCAAAAATTATTGTAAAAATTCTGCATGCATAAGTTAAAACAATAAAACTACTTAAAGTATAGATGAATGAAAGTTAAATAAGTAATTAATAAAAAGATATTTAGTAATAAATAAACTAACATTTGCAAAATAACAAAATATCCAATCCTAAATATGCCATTTAAATGTTTAACATTAATAAATTGCATAGTATCTCATTTCAAATAATAAAAATATCATCAAATCAGCTTTTTTATTGCAATAAGCAAAAAACTGCAAAACAAAGCAATCAGATTTGTAACATAAGAAAAAGTAATTTCAAAATTAAAATAAATACAATAAATACACAAAAGCACTTTTATTTTACTAGTAGAACTTTAAAAATTTTTGAGTATTACTTCGCATAATTTATTTTTGTTGTAGTGCTTTGCTTTTTTCAAACATACCAAATTTTATCTTCCATCAACTTTGTCTCTGTTATATTGTCAATACTAATCACCGCTACAAAAGGCTCGAATTTGTTGTTTTCAAAATGGTTTAAAAGAGATATTCTTTGGAAAAATGGCACAATTTTTAAGATTTATTCAAAATATTGCGATGAAAATATAAACATCTTAAAAACTTACCTTAGAATGTTCATTTGTAGATTGCAGTGAGTAAGAAATCAAAAAATTGCAGAAATCACGATAGAAAAATTTACGTGAAAAAAATTAACAAACTTGATTTGAAATTGTGGTCAAACGGAAATGACAATTTGCGTATTAATTTATAATTTTTAAGGATTAAAGAATATACTTCTTATCATCTCTCTTCAGCAGTAAATTTCTTTCCAACATTTGAATTTGCTTTAAAGCAATACAGAAAGTTTCAATAAATACTCTACTTTACTTTACAAAATATTTCAATTAAATTTTATTTCAAAAAATGTGATATCACAAGTAACGCTATAAAAAGGGTTTCTATTTGTTGCTTGTCAGTAATGCTGTGCATTTTTGCTTGCAGTGCAATAAATAATAATTCAGTAATCAAAGAGAAAATCTTATAAAACTCAATTAATTTTAGTATATCAGTATTATTTAGGTATCTTCTTGCAGTATGCAATTCAGAAAAACTGAAAAATAGAGTAATAATGAAAAAAAAAACAAGTTACCTGTTCAAATCAAATTTACTAAAGTATTTCATTTTATGGCAAAGATAAAATGCTTTAAAAAATAAAATAAAGTCAAGCAAACATAGGTGAGAAAGTATGTAAAAAGAACTTGTTGCATTTATTAATTTAATCAAATAAACTCTGTGTACAGTTTTATCTAAGTTAGTCTTAGATTTTAGAGGTAGACTGAAATTCACCCTTATCTGAAAGTAATTTTGAATAAAATAATCTGAGCTAATGTTGCAAAATTACTTAATATGATGAATAATTGAAAGAATTGAAAATGAACTGAAAGAAAGCATAATAATATTGACAGATTTTGCTTACATTCAATTGAGTCGTTTAAATACAAATATTATTTACAGCAGTCACTCTACTATCAGTATTACCTAATTGTATTTAACTGTAACGTTCGTTCACTGTTTTTTTTCCCTGACATTTTTGCTTTCTATCAGTGCCACTTCCAATGAGGCAAAAAACAACAACTCAAATTTAACTTAATCAATTATAATCATTGAAGAACTTAACGACAGTACCTCTGCCCTTACTTTTTAACGCTTCCTTCCGCAGTTTTTTAACCTATTTTCTTTCATCTTCCTTAACAATATTTTATGTAAGTTTAGGTTGAGAGCAGAAACTGTTCAACTTTTTCAAACCGCAGCTTTCTTTAGTTATGAAAAACATTTTTTGTCGTTCATAACAAAAATTTTTTGAAAATAAAAAATAGTAATAATATAATTATTGCTATTATTATTATTATTATTATTATCATTGTTACTATTACTGCTAATGTCAGTATCAAAAGTTAAATATTTGGATTCTAACCTAAAATCACGTCAAAAAAGTGATTAAAGGTGCGAACAAAAAATGATTGCTAGATTTAAGCTAATGAGAAAATTTTTCTTCTTTATCAGTTATGATTATTTGTATACTTGGCATCAAGTAGTATATATACAAAATTTTTACACATATCTGATGATTTCATTTACATCCATCATCTTAATAGTTACTTTATTCATAAATACAAAAAAAAAAGTAAAAGTTAAAAATTTACACATAGATTTGTAACGACTGAAACAATTGATGTTAATGTAACACACATTTAAAATTTTTCTTCCTCATTTAGGTTTTAAAAAGTTATGTAAGTCACTTCATTATGATAGTTTTTCAGAATTCTTATTACACTACTTGCATTTTAAGCATTTTCTTTTCAATTTATAAAATATGATAAATTAATGTTACAAATATCACTTAAATCTAATATACATAAATTTATGCATCAATAGTAGTTATAAAAGTGTATGCAAATTATAGTGTATGCAGCAAGGAATCGTTACTTAAATGTTGGATATGTGTATTTGGAAACGATTTCTAGAAGATATTTTTACAGACATTAATCTCTTGAATTTTAGAAACGAGCAGTACAATTCTGATGATCCAAAATATTTTTCCATTTAATAAAAAATGTAAACTTCAGACATCCTTTTGATTAATAAAAGATTTGTTATTTGTGTTTTCAAGAACTGAAATCGAAGATGATTTAGAAGTACTTAATGTAGTCTTCATCTTTGGTGTTCCCATGCATTCATGAAATGGCTTTATTGTAAAGGATTGAGTAGAAACAAGAAAACGAGGATAACACTGGAAACCAGAAAATCGTACTATAAAACTTCATACTTTGTGTAAATTGATGTAATAAGAAAACTTATCAATTTAATAAAGTATTATCAGAGCCAAAACCATGATAATATTATAGTTATTAACTAAATGTTATCAGTGATTACATTAAATTTACAGATTGAAATAATAGGAAAAAAAATTTTGCAATGCTGAATAATTATTTTAGCGTAATATGTATAATTTGATCACAAGTGGTGCTTTCTTAAAGAAATATTTTTTGCTAGTGTAATTTTCAATAAGACGTAAATTCATTATCTAATACATTACTAGATAATAATTAATCCATTTCAGTCTCATATTTTTCAATAATTCATTCTAGGCTGCTGAAATTTGATAAAGTAAGAGTCAGAAACTTTCTTATATAATTCGGTACTGAATGATTTGTAAAGGAGAACTAGTTATGATTCTTATGAACCTTGGCGATGAATCGACAAAAAGTTTAGTAGTGAAAAAGTGATGAAAAAGACAGCACACAAAGAATTCTTCTCCTATTTTCATCCATACAAAAGTTACATTGAAGAAAAGAAAGTTTTATCTATCTATCTATATTTGTATTTCTTATTTTATTTTCTCATTTTATTACGAAGCATATAAGATTTGTCAAGACATTAAACAGCAACAATTTAAAGAAGATTTTGTTACATTTTTGATTACTTGCATGAATGAGTAATTACTGACTGCAAAAAATACAAACAAGGCAAGATTACTTTTGCATTGAATTTTTGCGATGCTAAGAACAAATAAGCAGTATTCGTTGTTATAAATAATCATTGTATCTTTCTAATATTTGCAATAATTGCATGAGGATATAACATTTTGGAAGCAATTAATTTACTATAATTCATTCGTAAGTAAGCCTATTTTTACACAATATTTGGTTTTCTGTATTATTTTTAGCTTTCGATTATCAGTGTTATCGTTATTTCTAAAATTTTGCTTGAACTTTATGCTTTATAAAATTAATTTAAATCTTATCTATTTTTCTAATTTTGATCATTTCTAATGAAATGATATTCTCAAAAGATCGAAAATAGCACTAATTAAATGATGAATATCCGCTAGGTAATGGTCAATAATCATTATGCCATGATTATTGAGTAAAAAGAAAGCAAGATTAATTTGGTCAGTGGAGTATTACTGCATATCTGCTAGCAGCATTAAATTTATTATTTGCCAATTTGTTTTCTGTATATGTGTGGATGCATGAGTGTGTGTGTTATGAAGGAGAATGATTTTCAAAACTTATCTGCACGGATGTTCTGGAAGGATGATGATATGTGATAAGCTGGAAGAAGAAAATACACGTAAAGCAACGAGCTAAAGACGAGTGCAGCTTATGAGATACACCTTATAATTAATTATACCATAGCTTTTTGTGCTAAAATAATAGACTTTATTTTGAATTGCACAACTGCTTAATAATATGTAATAAGTAAAATAAAAATTGCATTTTCTATGGATCACTGATAAATTTTGGAGTAAAATTTCAGAGTTCTACAAAGAAAAGGGAAAGTAATGCATGAATCGATTAGTCTAAATCATTTTGCATCTCTTTCAATGTGCCATAAATTTTAATTCACTATATTAATATTAAATCAACATTTGTTTTAATTTTTAATTAAGATACGTAGTTCGTAATTTTGCCACAATTCTCTATATATTTTATTTAATTTGTGCGAAGCTATTAATTTATGACAAATGGAATTGTGCACAAAGTACATTTTACTTTTAGTTCCTTTGCTTAAGCTAACTTTTTTCGTTTTCAGATCAATTTCAAAAGCAAATGATTTAATTAATTCTTATAAGTGCAACAGCAAGTCATTATATTATGTTTAAGTCATAGAAATTTCAAATTTGTTAAATGATAACAAAAATATTTCATGTATAGTTATTGACTGGATTGAGATTGCAAACACTAAGTAATTATAAGAAAGATTTATGCAGGTTTTGGAAATTAACAAAGAGTCAGCTTATTTCACATAAGTAATCTCAGTCTCTTACGTAAACATATCAATATAACAAAAATAAATATGTAAAGAATAAATTTAAAGAATAGATGTACGTTGTAGATGAGATCAAAAGACAGTATGCAACATAACAATGATGATTTTTGTTTACGGTAAATTCAGTTAAATAAATGAATAATGGCATTAAGATTATTCATACATCCATACGATCATTCATTGATTGATTGATTCGTTCATTCACTCATTCATGCACATTTTTACAAATAATATAAAACTACTTGCAAGAAATGACCTTCATTTTATGTCTACTGGCCAGACTGATGTAACATATCGATCTGGCATGGTATTTAATTTTATTGTAATATTCTTAAATCTATTTGCTTTAATTAAAACTTCCAACTTTAATGACGACAATTCAAACTTATAATAATTTATAATACTTTGTTGTACAAATTTTCACAAATGCTTACTTGTTGTGCTAGTTGAAAAAAAAATACCGTCTTACTTTCTTATCTTGCAGTACTTTCCCAGCAGTGATTTTTCATATTCAAACAGGACTAAGGATATCAAGTAAAACTATGACAATTGTGATGTGGCACTAAATAAATTTGCGTTACAAATACGAAATGATTATTATCCATAAACAGTACACTTGAGAGATGAAAATCTAGAACTTCTGGTAATCAACAGTGTTATCTGCTTACTCAAGTATTAACATTTGATATCGCAGTTATGAAAAAATATCGCAAAATCAAGTTTTTAGATGGAATGAAGTGAGTAGTTAATGAATGAATATCGCATAAAATGACAGCCATCAAGTAAGACTAAAATATTTTCGGAATACAGCATGTAATTTCAGTGGTATTATTCATAAGAGCGACTGATCCATAGCTTAAAATTATACGAGCGTATTTTATGGATGAGTGTAAAGTGTAAATGATTACACACTGCTTAAGATTGAATTTGATTGTCTTCTTTTAGCCTTGCTTTGTACCAATTATATTTCAGTTATTCTGCATAATTAATCAACAACCATTTTTAATGTCACAGTAACAAAGAGACATGCTCTAATTTGGGCATAGTATTTATAGAATTAACTGATAATATCAAAAATGCACAACAGTATAAATGTATTAGCTAACATGATCAAAGAAAGCAAAATCATAATAATGTCATGGAAGAATTATAATACACATTAACTTCGCAAATAATAAGATAATTGTAAGAAAATCTTTTAACATAACAAAAGCTATTCATTCATAAGAAGCAGAGTGTAGAGTATTAATGTAATCATTTTACAGGTATTAACAGTAATTTGGTATGATTGATTATAAACAAAAATGGAAAATTTTTTTCAATACATGAATGCATTCAATTAATATTTTTATAATAGCAAATGATGAATAATGATAGTAATAGCGAAAATAACAGTTAATAATAAATAAATAAATAAGTAAAAATAATAATGGTAATAATAATAATAATAATAATAATAATAATAATAATAATCGTGATAGTAATGATAGTAGTAGCGAAAATGACAGTTAATAATAAAAGTGTTATTCTATAAGTGATTATTGTAAAAATGGAAAAAGTAAATAGAAAAAAGTTTGTTTACATGAAAAATGTGATTGAAATTGTAAATGAATAGAGGAAGAAAAGAGGAGGAAGACAATTTAGGCAATTGTAAAAAGTTTGATTAGTTTACTTGACCAGTCAGAAATGAGAGAAAAAAAAGGAAACCAGAGATGATAGCTGCAAGGGAATCAAATGGATGAAATTCGAAAAGAATGAAAAATTTTCTCTCAATATTTTTCCAAAAATTTTTTATGCCATTAAAAGTTTTAAGACAAAAATGCAAGTAAAATGCACACATAGCATTTATCAACATTCTCAAGGTCATACAATACAATCATTGTAATGATAATGCAAAGACAATGCGGACAAAATTGCTTTCCGCTTACCACTACACTAGTTTGTTTTATCACTGAAAGCAATAGCAATCTCCTCATCTCAAACATTAAACTTCATTTTTTTTCCTTTCCTTTAGTAAAATCAATACATACCATACACTAATAGAACTTTATTTTTTATTGATTGTTTTAATCGTGATTATCTCAAATTTCATATATTTATTATTACAAGAAAAATAAGACTTACAATTTTTCAAACTTGTGACACTTAATATTTCTAAATCTTTTTTAAACTGACAAATACACATCACTCTTACAAAATGCGTGTCAAAGAAAATTCTAATTCAGAAATGTCTGGCATTCCAAAGTATCGAAAATAGACTGCATTATTACAAAGAAATCCATTCCAGTATTTGAATTGTAATTAACAACAATATTAAACATTCCATTTTGTTGTATTAGTATGTATTACAGAAGCTCTCTTGCGCTTCAAAAAAAAAATAGCTGAATAAAAATTAGACTAATCGAAAAAGAAATTTTTTATTGCATTATACAAAATTACTGTATTGCTTTCTGTAACAAAATCAAAATATCATCTTTATACTTGTTACACTTCGCACTGCCTTACGTGCTATTATATTCATTATTAGTGCAATTTTTTTCAAACTTGCTGTAAATTATAAAAGTAAATTCAACGAATTGTTAATATAAAAGAGGTTTACAAAGGAAATAAAAATTAATTACTTATGTATTATTCGTGCTTGGATCACATTGCTGATAGCTAGAACTCAAATACAAGAATAAACAACACTAAACAAAAATTTTAACAAAACAACAAAAGTATTTTATGAATTTACTTAAGAATAAGCAGGCGCAAACATAATTCTCTACAAAGTTTTCACTTTCATTAATGAATTTCGCGAAAGAAAGAAGATTCAACACTATGAATTATTTTTGACACAGACTTGTAAAAACAGAAATGACATAAAACACGTAACTAAGCAAAATATTCAATTCATAGAGTCTAAACTGTGAATAAAACAGAACAATTTGTCAAATCAGAATAATGAAGAAAAATTTCTTAAAGCTCTCAACATTTACTGATAAAAAGTATAAATATAATCCAAAAAAGTATATACGCATTGGAAAAAGAAAGATTTTCTTGACACAATAAGTCTTAACATTCCACGGATAAATAACATTCTACGGTTGCATGACAATGAAAGTTATCACATTGAGTAACAAATGAATTGTACACATCGAAGATCTAAAGATCTAATATACACATTAATAAGCTTCTAACAAATTTCCATCCCAACTGTCATATAAACACTAAATACCGTGAAAATAAAATATGAGAAAATACTATTCATAATGAGTACATAGTGGATTGCCACTACAGGTTATTTTTGTATGGTAATGAGTGCCAGAATTTTGGCACACAATACCACAAAATCAGCTTACACTTAAACTCACTGATCTAACTCAATCAAATATGCCTCAAAATAATATCAGAAAATCAAGTAAAACTGAACAGTAATCGTTTTTTGTGAGTGTATTGCTTCATGTACTAGAAAATCGACATTGTTATTACATGATGGAGACATTTTTTTTAGAAGACTTTCATTCATCGATTTTGAATAAAAAGATTCACAAAAAAGGTACACAGAAGAAATAATAATGATATTTAGAGAGCTTCTGATATATTGCTTATATTGAAACTTTTTCCGATGTATAAAATTTCTATTCATTAAAAGGTGCATAATAAATATTAGAAGCACAACAACAGTAAAAAAGATATATTATGAAAAGGAAAACGAAATTGAAAGATAAAAAGCATTTAATTAGAATACAAAACAAGAAATACTTGATAAAACAAAACTTAGTTTTAATAACAAACAAATGGATTGGTTTTGTGAAACTTCACCAGCTCATTCATTCTCATCACTCTGAATAAACTCGACTATCAGTCAAGTAATAACACTTTAATTCATTAGCAGTTTGACTCTTAATCAAATCAAACCAAGATATCTGATGAAGCATCACAGTATTAAGACCTAACTTTTCTTCGTACAGCTGCTGTATGTCCATAAATTTGTGCTACTTCCCTTCTCATGTATTCATTCTATGACAATCGTTTTCTTGAGCAAACGCTGCAAATCACAGATTGAACACTAGTAAATTTTTTTTGATATTATTGCAAAAACTTGTAATTTGAAGAATTCATACAAAATGTTAGTCCATTCTTGCCGAAAATACTGACGTTTAAATTTCTTGAGTAATTTGCGAAGTCCATCAATTAATTTCAGTCAAATATGATATTCAATTTTCAGTGTTTGGAAGCTTACAAATATGCATATCTTATAAAATAAAATATGTTAAAATAATTGTTAAAGTAATTTGCATAGCATCAAAAAAATATACAAGGGAAGGAATGCTTATAATGTGTAATTTTGAAAGAGGAAAACGCTTTAATTACGAGTGATATTTTCTTTGCTTAATACACTGTAGAATGATAAATTGCAAATCGCAATGTACTTTTCATTGTGATTTACACAATTTCTAATTTAAACATCTATTAAAATTGTCATTTAAAGTGAATTACTTCACGAAATGTAACTGAAAATGAAAAAAGTCTTCAAGTAAACTGAATTCATGGAAAAATTGGATTCACACACTAGCAAATTTGCAAGAATTATGAAGAATAACACTTCTTGAACAGATTTTGCATGCAAAACTTGACAAGTATTCAGTGCTTTTTTTCTTTGAAGCATAACACAAAGATGCAGAAGTTTGAGAGTAACGTGTGCAACATTCATCTCGTACACTCGTGAAATACTTACTTGTATCACTTGGAATACCTGTCATAATTTCAGACATGAAGTAATAGTAACAAATGCATAAAATGGTACTGCAAAGTACAGGAAATGAAAGGAACAGAATGTACAGCAGCACAACAGGGAAGCCAAACATTTTGCTTATAAGTGAGTAAAATTTTTTCTTTTTTAGCTTATTTACCACATTTAATAGTGAAAACAATTACACAAATAGCTTGAACACGCAATAAACAATGAAAAACTTACAAATATAATTGCACATTTTGTGTTCATTTCAGATCACTAAATGCATACAGTAAATTGTCACTAATTTCACGTATTTTTAATATTTTCGAATGAAATAAATAGAAAAAATCTAAAGTATTCAGCTTCTGAACGCAAAAATATAGGGTAAGATTAAGCAGTCAGATAGACAAAAGATATGTTGTACATAGGATAACAAGTTGGGTAGTATATTTGTAAATACGTTATCTGCAGATGATATCTATGATATTACACAAACTACAAGTAATGTATAGTCAAAATTTTATACACATTAAAGTGCGAAATCAATTAAAAATAATATACAGTTCGTAATTCAAGAATATAGCTTTAAATTCATGTTTAAAATGCATGTTGTAAGCAAGCACAAAAATGCGAATTCAAATTCTAACGCTGAAATAAAGTTCCTGAAGGTCTTACAATGAAAACTACCGTATACTAATCAGGAATTTGTTTTTATGCGAGATAAAAAGTATGAAGGACAAAGTGGGTTACTGTAAAGTTTCGCGTGATGTTTGAGTATGCTTCCTGAATACTGACCGGAATTTCACGCTTTATTGCAAAAATTTTCGGAATTATCAAAAAGGGATAAGCAAGTTGCATAGGAAGACACACTACAGATATCGATTAATTTCAATACTAGACAAGGCTTCGAAATGTGTGTTGTCAGCGTGATAATAACTGGTGATATTTCAACGTGTGTACTTCAGGATTGCGTGTGATTTTCCCACATTTATGAGTCTCACAAGTACAATACTTGCTTATTGTGCTACTGTATGTCTCGAGGTGTTTCTTGGCATGTTGTAGTTGCTTAAAATTATCTCATTAGTGTGAAGTACGTATTGCAACGATTTGCTTCCCGATTGAAATACTCAAAGGGCGCTATTTTGCATGTTGGGGTAGTAAAATTAAATTTTGTGACTGGTGTATGTAATGTTTGTTACCTTTGCACTGTATGTTGGAAATTATGAAGCATTCTGTTGCTACATATGTGTTCATACACATTTCATGTACCTGTTCCCAAGTCATTCAGCCTTCATTTGTAAGGTGCGTTATTATAAAGCGCAACTTTCAAAGTATGTTTATATTTGTAATCTCACTGTGCTGTTTTTGAAATGTTTTTGTTTGTTGAGTATGTTTATAAAAAACCCTAACTTCGAACAGAGAGGACTTCGTAATTTTAATACATCGATCAATTTTTATTGATAGATACAGTTTTTCGACTTCTATCATGTGAGGCACTGAGAATTTTGCTCAACTGTGTTTGCACACTAAGATCGTATTAACATTTACTGCATATTGTCAAGTTTAATGTCATTTAATGGGTTTGAAGAAATAATATTCCTATTTCTGCAATATTGTGAGTTTTTTAAGGAATATTTTTTCTAATTTGCTAATTCTTGAAGGATTTCGAAATCTCAGGGAAATAGAGAAATGCCTCGTGCAAAATCGCGTGGCTCAAATCGGACTAAACTTGGTAAAGTTGCATCATCAGCTAGGAGATCGAATTTCAAGCAAAAGCGTACAAGAGCAAGCAGTAAACGATTAAAATCGAGAGCTGCAAAGTCTAAGGAGTAATAATTTGTGTAGCTTTATTTGTGTTAATTGTTTTAGACAGTTAATATTTCATTCTGACGGCAAAAGTCCATAAGTACGAGATGAGTGGTTTTTTAATTTTCAATTCTGGATGTATCCTGTTTCAGATTTGGGAAATCTAGAACTATAATTCTAGTTTCTAAGGGTGGTATCTAGAAATTTTGTATGTTGCTAAAGTGGATTTAAAGTAGTAAAAACAATATTTCTAAAACTTTGTTTCATATTTGGTAGCTAAATTTGCATATCTTTGCTCAAAAAATTTTGTTATAAATATCATTTCTTTTTTACTTCTTGCTTCTTTGAATCATCATTCCAGCAGCCGACGTGTATGGGATGACAGTGATGAAGAGTATGATCGACTTGACTATTACACAGATTCGTCAAATGACTATGATAGTGAAACTTCTGTTATCCAAAGAAGTAAGTATATGTGACTTGCGTGTTTATAGTAGTTTTAAATTTATCGGAAAAGCTAAAGCAGCAAGTTTTGACAGTATCAGTGAAATTTGTGCATGTGCAAGTGCTTATTGTTATTTATTTCATATTTTATCATACTTGTATAATTCAATTTAAGAAAATCCATCAAATTTTTTAGATTCTATGACAAGGGATGTTGAGGATGACTCTGAGAATGAGGAAATGGAAGAAACTGTATTGCGAAGTAGTTGTGTTCCAACGCCTGAGTCATCTTCATATGAAGATGAATGTATTGGTATGTTTCTCTGTATGGTGTTGAATAGTTTAAGTACTGCTCTTGAAAGAATAATGAACGTATCTCAACGTTTGGTTATTTGATCTTTACCATTGCTAAGCCAATATTCAAATTGTAGAATGCCCATGGATTGAGATATCACCAGAGCAATTGCCTGTATTAGAATTACCAGAAGGCAGTACGGACTTATTAATTGACGGAAATTACTTGTTGCAAACTCTTGAGGTACGTGGACAATTATCTGAATTTCAGGACCATTCCCAAAGTATTTTTATTCTTTCACTCTTAATTTTAAAAATTGAGTTAGTGTTTATATGTCTTTGTGGTTGTAAAAGTAAGGTATTGTAGATTTATGAAACATGTCGTTGGTATTATCAGTCAATACGACTTTCGCCATTTTTGTTCGAGGATTTTTGTGCTGCTATATGTGCAGAGGCCCAAACAAACCTATTAGCAGAAATGCATATTGCGCTATTGAAATTAGCACTGAAAGACGATGAGGATGAGCAAATTATTTTGTCGGTTCAGGATACAAATAGCAGCTTTAATATTATGCTTCAGTTGCTCGAACCAATGACTTATGCTGAGGTTTGTTAGTGTATTTCATTGCCGATTACGAAATCCTGATTATTAAAGCACATATTTACAGCATTTCTCGTTTAAATTGATTGTTGGTGAAATAATCATGGGAACAGGAAAGATTTCTGTGTGAAATTAAAAAGCTCCAGTTTTCTTATAGGTTGTGACTTTTAAGTAAAAATCATGATTCTGAATTTCAGGTATTGAGGCAGTATCTTGAAAGTGATCCACAGCGCTTTCCAAATGCAGTTTTGGAAGCAGTAGGTGGAAATTATCCATTTGTTGATGTACAAAAAAGGCTTACGGTACTTTCGTGGCTGTGTGATCGGTTCCTTCAAAGCAGCGAATATAGGAATATTGTGAGAAATGAGGGTAAAAAAACAGTTGATGAGCTTTGCCGTGAATGTGGAAAACCGGGCGATATTTTGTTATGTGATGGCTGTGAGGCAAGCTATCATTTACCTTGCACGAATTTAGGCGACGTGCCAGATGGAAAATGGTTGTGCCAAGTGTGTGAATTACATAAGGTAATGTGATTTCACGTTTTTCAGATTTTATTAAGTGGTAAACCTTAGTACTGTACATCTTTTAGATTCTTATTTATGAGATTCAAACATTGTTAATTTGTATGCTTTTGGTGATATCCATTTATTGTTTCGCTGGTTTACTACAAATGAAATTTCAGGTACGCGGTGTGACAGACTGTGAACTTACAGATCGATCATCACGCCTACCGTTACGTTTTAATCCTCTTGGTTATGATCGGCATGGTCGTCGTTACTGGTTTTTAGTGAGACGAATATTTGTTCAGGATGATGCTGATGGTTCAGTGCAGTACTACAGTACTCTTCCTCAGTTATATGCACTATTGAATGCTTTATGTGCCAGTCATTATGAAAAGCATTTAGCAGCAGTTTTCATGGATCTTCTTGCTATTATCGATGAACATATGCGAATAACTTTACAACTAACAACTGATTATGGAAGAAGTGCTAGAACCAGAAATAAAACGGATTTATTTTTACATGCAGATAATGGTCTGTATTATTATTAATAATTATTGTATTTCTTAACGAATTTGTATGTAGTCTTCTGTAATCTTAGTTAAATTCGCAGTTAGATGTCAAAAATCTTGAGACAAAGAAGTGAAATTGAATTGATCCTACTTACGTTATTTGAAGTTGTACGAATGGGTGATATCTTGATGAAACCACTGCACAGTCAGTTGCAAGAAAGTGGAGATGACCGTGTAGTAGTTAAGCTTGATTGCACAAAGCACATTGAAGTGAGCAAGTATTTATTGCTTTGCAAAGCAGAAGAATTACTGGGATTCAAAGAAAATTGCTTAACGAATACATTTTGGACAGCTGGTATGCAAAGTAAGTTGCATTTCTCATTTCATAAATACGATTTTCCACATTATCCTAGATATCGTTCTCTAGCTGCATTTGTTTTAATTTCAGCTCATGAAGTGATTACTAAAAAAGACGCAATTGAAGCAACCTTCCATTCCTCGTTGGGCACCAATAATATTGTGAAATTTGGGTTTAGACTGGGAGAAGGCGATGCATCAGCCCGTTATATCAATCAGTTTCGGACAAATGAATATGCAAAAAGCCCTATTCAGCGAGCAAAAGAAAGAGATAAGAAAAAATATATGTGTGGAAGGTTTTCACTTATGGACGAAGGAGAATTTAGTGTAATTTTAACATTATCGAAATGCCAAAGTATTATGATTTTGTAGTTCATTTTTAAGTAGAGTATAATTTCAGTGGACTATTTTAAAAGGACGGGGTATCTCTGGTACGCCAAATCAAATCGGGAAAATCATTCAAGATTCTCTGGAGAACTTTGTTCAAAAGATACCACTTGTTCTGATGCATCGATTGTGGAAACGTGACGGTTGTGATAATTTTAAGAAGGTAATTTTTAGATGTAAATAATTTCAGAATGAATTTAAAGTAGTTGCTGCTATACATTTTATTCATGATGGATAGATAAATAGAATTATAGGTAGTATATAATAAGCGATTTAAATAAATATAGAAGTGAAATTTCGAAACTACCTCTGAGCGGGATGAAGTGAGTTTATACTGTGGTTTTGATTGTTATTGACTCATAGTATTCATTGCTTTGAAATCAAGCATGTTTTCAGGGTTTAAGTGCTCCACCAACGGTAGACCTTTTAAAGGATTTGTTATTGAAGTTTGAATGCGCGATCCGACGGCCAGTACTTCATAGTGTGTGGTGGAATGCGCTAGGGCATACGCGGTTAATACGAATAACTGCAGATGATCGCGAAAGACGTCAGCATTATGAAAGAAAGAAAAAAAAACAAGAAAGAGTAACATGTTTTATGAATTTTGTGAATTTGGTTTTAATAACACCAATTTCGTGCTATGCATGTGTTTAAAGAATTATAATAGGGATTGAAATTTATGTCTGGAACTTCTGTTTGAAAAGATATTAAACGGATTACTCAAGTGCAGTGTTAAATGAATGTGTGTTATTAGAAGTTTTATATAGGAATTGTTAGCAGCAGAACCGGATGACGATGATGTAATTTGGGTGAAACATCTGAAAGTAGGCGCAGTACTCAAAAGAACTTTGTGGAGGCAAAATGATGAAGGTTATCGGGTGAATGGTCGTGGTGCACTTGGCGGCTGGTTATGGAAGTCAAAAACATTCCATCGTACATTTGTTCCTATTGCTGAAAAACCAGCTATTGCTGGAATAATAAAAGTGCGTTGTTCCACATTTGATTAATTCGGCCTAGCTCTAATTTGAGTTTCTTATTTGGAACTACAGTGAAATTGTCTTTATTTTTTCATCTTTACTTGTATAGGAAACTCCCATAAAGTAGCATTTGTTTCAAACATCATATTCATTCAGTTTCTCATTTCCTACAAAAACTCCAAAAATTTTTAGTCGAATACTTTGGCAAATCAGAAAGCGATTTATCTGGAAAGTGTGATTAGTCGTCTTTATGGCTGGAGAACTGCAGAAATGGAATGTGAAGAACGGTAAGAATATTAAAGAAGTGTAAGCCAATAATCTCAACGCTATGTACAAAAGTTCAAAACTTCATTATTTACCAGTTATGAATTGAGTAATTGTGATCATTGTTGTATACTGGGTCCAGTCATGTATTTCATGATGCTACTTAAAGTTTTGGTTTTAGAAATTGGCAAACAGAGTTGTTGAAGAACTGTTATTCTCCAACATGTAGGACGAGTAGAGTGCCATTCTATATGATATCGGGAAATGACAGTATTCACAGTTGTTACAGCCCTACTTGTCGTCAAGCTTTGATTCAGTCAAGTGAGCTACGCGGGCATAAAGATTCATAATAGATATTGACTTTATAATAAAACAATGGAATAAATTTTTGTCTTTCATTTTATTTATTTTGTCTGTAATGTATAAATATTACAGTGGACAGAACCACTAGCGGTGTTGTACATGCAAGACCACTATCGTCCAAATGCGTTCAAGGAAATGGACAGAGTAACAAAGTATGTCTAGCGAATAAACCTTTTCCTTTACCGACACCGTTCGATTACCGTGTGAAGCGTACAGGTGAACAGAGCATATTGATCTTGCCGCAGAGGTATGTTCAAAATATTAAATATTGAGAACTGCAGGTATCGTTGATTGCTTAATATTTGGTAATGGAAAAATTTCTCACAAAAAAGAAAAAACTGGTAAATCGGATATTTATTTCGCCCTTAGTAAATATCTCATTTTTCATCATTTTTTATACTGGAAATCGTACATTTGTTTTTTGATGATGGTTTCGATTAATGTTTCATCTCTTGCAGTCAGAATAAGTTGCAAATGGTATTTATTTTTTTAAATTCCTAGAGCACTTAAACGTTTGGCGCGCCAGGGTGGTGTCAATTTGAATTATTTTGTACCTGGTTTTCATCGCATGGCCAAAAGTAATAGTCAAGTGTGGGATTATCCTTGTCAGCGTCCGCTTTTTGGCAATTGTTGGAGGTGTGTTTCACTTTTACGAGAAGTTTGGATTCATTGTAAAAAATTTTCTGATTAGCATTGAAGACCCATTAACATTCTGTTGACGGCATTATTTTGGTTTAGATATTTGCTGTTACGTGCTCCATCATATCATTCAGTTGCTTTACACTTACGAATACTTTATGCATGCATTCGGTGGGCTGACTTGTATCGTGAACCAGATGAGGTATTTACAATGTTTAAAGAGTAATTTGCAGATTTAACTAATGATTTTATCAATTTTCTACTGACTACTGAAAAACTAGATACTGAAACTAGATATTTTTGTCCCAGTTGCTTATATTATGATTGCTTGTCAAAATTGAATGATCAAATTGAAGTATGTCTTTAATGACTTTGCTAAGTATTTGGTTTAATGCTGCTTGCTACAATTTTAACTTTGAAGATCTTCAATTTAGGATATGAGAGTAACAGTCCATCTCGCAGACCATGATGAAGTGCGTGTAATTACTGACCACAGAGAATATCCACCAGATGGCATGCATGAGCGATATAAGCTCAGTATAGAAATCATTCCTCTTGATGATAATGTTGAATTAGATGATGCTGATGAAGGTGAGGGAAGTGCTGCGTACCATCCATCAAAATCTCTTGAAAAAAGTCAAGTTTATTTTAATATTCATTGTCATTTTTCAGTGTTTAATCTTCATTAAGTTAGATCTTATTAGTGTGAATTTGTTATTCTTAATTATAAGTCAAATTTCTCGAATGGAATAAGTGTTTAAATCTCATTTTTCGCTCATTTCAGCTTTACGAAAAAGAAAGCCGCCAAAAAATAAAGCTATTAATGACACTGTGAAGAGAGATAAAATTAAGATGATTGAACGATGGGTCGATGGAACTGAGCTCAAACCTTGGGAGATAGCCGATTACTGGAAGACTGTAGAAAACCGAAAACGTAATATTCTATCTACAGAAATGGGTGCTTCTTTCTCAAGCAATTACACCTCATTCGTGCTCTAGAAACGTTTTACTGTATTTTATTCACACCGTTACTATGAGCGATCTTCATTCGTGAATTAGATCTTGTTATTCATTCTTTATTTAATGAAAACAAATGTTTTCAGCTAGCAGCAGATTTTCTAATTTGATTATCAAGCGAAGTGAGTTGGCGCAGACTAATGTAAGAGAGCATTCACAATCTAAACCTATATCAAAATGTGAGTACAATATACGAGGTAATGACGATGACGATGATGAGTTTATTGATGTCGAAACTTTGCTTGATGATAGTAAAGCTGAAGTAAATTCGAATTTTGAACCAAAACAAAAGATTCAGCGATTGTCGCAGTCAGTATCAGAACAACGGCAACGTGGAAGGTAATTACCGAACTAAGCTTAATGAACATCTTAAAACAGTTATTTTCTAATTGCAATGATCGAATGTTCAATTATTTGAAAATAATTATAATTTCTCTTTGATTACCATTGTAAGATAATTTCAACTAGTAAAAAATTTCTTCAATTAAGTAGATAGACAAGACAATCAACTTTATCAGAGATCCCCGTCGAACAAGCAGATGATTCAAAACATTTGATGCTTGTTCTAGAACTTTTTTCAGAAAATTTAAATTCATTAAGTTTCACCTAAAATTTTATCTGAATATAAAGGAAGTTTTTTGTATTGTGAAGTGTCTTATGCTGTTTTACTGCTACGTTTTTTATCTATTGAGCAAATTTCACTTTCGATTTGTGTGAATGGTATTGTCTAGGAATAATTCATTCTCTTCGAAATTTCAGTTCTTACCAAATTGAATATCGAAATCCAAATGTTCATTACCAGTTTGAAAGAGTGATCAGACAACCAACAGAATTGTTAGGTGGAGGTAAATATACCAAAATACAGGCATGTTATTTGACTATTTATTTTTTGATTTCGAACAACAGTAAACCGAAGTTAAAAGCTTTCAAATTTAATTGGAGTTTCAGATTGTATTATGATTTAAAATGTATGAATACTAAACTTGGTATAAAAAATTTCCGTTTATCAAGTACTTATTCTCTTCTTTTATGCAGGACATTTTTCTTATATTTGCTTTGTATTCACATATAGCCGTTTAGAAACCAGATGGTACTATATGTCGTGTGATGATATATAAAAATCTTCCAACGCAGGAGACTAGCTCAACTACTGTGGGATCTTCTCGTTCATCTCCAGTTGCAACTTCGCATTTGAAAACTGGAAGTGGTGAGCGAGAACCTATGCGAATTCAAGTTCCACGAAGAGTTTTAGTTGCTAGCTCGAGCCATAGTACTTCTCCACCGGTTCGTATAAACAACCCAGTTTGATGTATCAAATTCAGTTTCTGCATTTTAAATGCTATATCTATAGTATCAGGAGGAAGAGTGGAGTTTTAAGAGTTTTTGTAAGTTTGTAGTCTTATTTTTATGCACTTTGCAGGCAGCAATGGGTAGGAAATTATTGCTTATTCGTCGAAGTGATGGTACCACCCAGTATTTAAGACCTGTTACAAGTGGTAGCGGACCCCGTACATATCGACCTATTCGAGCGATACCGGTTCATTTTAAGATCCTTATTTGTTAATATTAAACATGTGTCACCGTAATTTTCCTTATTTTTTATGCATTTTAATCTAAGAACGTGATTTCATAATAATGATGACAGTCATTGACAAATTTCGGATTTCTTTTTTCTTCTACAGTTATTAGATTATTAGATAATTCTCTTATATATATAATAGAAGTTTTAGAGAAACTATGTTCGTCTTTTACAACGAATTATTCCATTTTTAATCAAAATTCAAGTTTTTCGACTTCATTAGCAAGAGCTAAAATTTGACTTTCATAACGAGGGCTCAGCTTTCTAGAACTTTGTGTGAATTCTTTAATTTCAGGCTGGCAGTACTGTACCAAGTGATGTCCAGAGCCCTACAGCTGGTATGTTTGACATTCATTTTTTAAAATGTTTACATAAGTCATGCATTTCGATTCTGCTTGTATTTCTCATATGTACAATTTTATTTCTAGGTCGTATAATTCGGTCGGTTGGACCGATTCGTACTGTTTTTAGTGGTGATCAATTAATGGGTAGATCTGTGCAGTTACCTTCGGTAAGTATCAGTCATTGATGGTTGACCATTTAGAAGAGAAATTTCCTTTCTGTTTCTCCTGAAATGAAGTGAGGGAGGTGTATCCTTTTGTTCTTATATTTCCTTCTTTTTTTTTTTGCAGCGGGCATCGTCATCAGCAAATTCGCTTGTTGGAAACCATACTTCATCTGTGATTCGAAACACTCCAATGCAACAGGTAAATCTTAAAGGTTACGAGGTTCAATTTTCACTGTTCTGTTATGTTTCAGTAGCTTCTGTTATATCTAGTTTTATTGAAAAAAGAATTTCATTGTGGTGGGAAAGAGTATTATTGAGTAACAAATTACTAAGGTTTTTACTTTTTTCTCGTATATTGAACTAAGTAAATAATTTGTGAATTTTTATTAAGGATATCAAACGACGTGTAGATGATGACCGAGTAGTGGCTGAGCAAAACACTGGTGTATCTTTCTCTCAGATGAAAGAAAGGAACAGACTAGCAGCTGAAAGTGTGGTGCGCTCATTGGGAAGACCATGTGGAGGAGCACCTTCTGGGTAAATTTTGTTGAGCAGAGCTAGCTTTTTTTGCTGAAGCAGTAAAACAGGATTTTTTTGCTCGTTATATCATATTTTTATTCCACATCGCTTTTACCTTTTTTTCCACAGTTTATCAGATATTTTTTGCCAGAAGTGAACGAGCTCTCGCAGGTGCAAGACCGGTTGTAACAGTGCAACCACGGCAAGGTTTAGCAGCAGTGGTTCACTCATCTCTAGAACACCAAACATCTGGTCAAACGTTTGGTAATGGCAGTCGAATGGTAGGTAGCCAACATCTAACTTTTACTTAATTGATTGATCTACTTCTGTTTACAGTTATGTGAAATAATTATGGTCTCCCTATTTTCTAATGAATTATTCTGATTCATTTTCAAGTAAGCATTCCATGATAAATGTGGATTTGTATCAGAAGCAGTAGGTTGCATTTAGAATGTTTTCTAAGACCTATTATTTTTCAGTGCCTTCTAAAAAGTAATTACAAATCTTAAATGCAACTTAAACAAGAGTGAGTCTAATAGTGGTGCATAGGAAATAAATTTAGATTTGAGTGCATGTTTGTGTCTGAATTTTAAAATTACTGAAATGAGCAATATGTTATTCTTCAAAATCGAATCAAAGCATATGTATGGTTTTTTCTAACCTAGATTATCAATGAACCATTATATCTTAATCTCTGGTTCTTGTATTCATATCTTATCAAATGCTATGTTCATGAGTCTCATGGTACGTCACAGTTAGTTAGAGGGGTATTTCATTTTCAAGATCTACTCTTCTGCTTTTGTTTTTTAGAGAACAGTAGCTGTTTTCATCGCATTCTGTTATATTTTTTGAAAACTATATTTTTCTAGAATCGATTTTGTTAACTTGTCTTGGAAACAGATTTTCTCTATGGCAACTTTACTGTTGTTCGAGGGGTCCAGAACTGTTATTATTTGTTTGCGCTAGACCTCAGTAACGTCGAGAACACTGCATTGAAAGCCTGGCGAAACTAGCGTAGTAACGTTATCTACAGCTCACTCTTGTTTGACTTCTGTCACATGTTCAGCTTTTTCTGCTATGTGCAGAAAACATTCTTTATGTACAAGAATTTATAATAACAATCGTTTTGTTGAATTAAGGGAACCCTTTATAATATTGTCTGATTTATTTTCTTTTCTTGGTGAGTACCATTAAGCTTTTTGTTCTAAACCGCAATATTTTATTTTTGTTCCATAATTACCCCGTTTCTTGTCTTCTTTTGTCTGAACAATAACAGTATGGATAAAAGCAATACACGCGTGAATGGTTAAGGACGAAAAATTTTTGCTTTGTTCTGTCACAGCTTAAATAAAGCTAGAGATTGTAATTTTATTACTCCAAAATACTAGTCAATTGCATAAATTAATCGCGCTTTCACGCAGTCATTTATTTAAAAGTATGTATTGTCGTTTTTCATAGTGTGTGACGACGGTCGGCATCGGTGTTTGATGTTGAGCGACTATATTCTTGTTGCTGTTTTGTGTGAAATAAAATATTCCCTGAACGCTACTGTGTTGTTTTGCAAGTCATACGATAAGCATAATTTTATCAGAAGTAGTTCACTGAGATATTTTAGTCTTATTGCAAAATAAAGCATCGTAAATGAGTATTACAAAAATTACTGAAGTCCAATTTACAGGCTAATACTGGACCTTATGCAGTTTCTCGTGGTAGATGCAGGAAAGTGGTACGATCGTTACAAACCAGGATACCAGGGTACCGGTTTTTTAATCTTTACATGACTAAGTGGGTAGTAGGGAAATCTTTAAAGATTTTCGTGAAATGATAAAGTAAGTGTCAGACGTATCGGTCTTTCACTATGGACCTGTTGAAGTGCTTTTTCTTTCAGGTTGCCAGTGTCAGTGCATCCTGGGTCTGAAAGAGTTAGAATGTCATATCCCAGAGGTAGAGGTAATATCAAATGTTGCATTCATTTTGTCCTAGTTTTGAGTTATTGAATAAAATATGAACATTAATTTGTTCAGTAATATTTTCAGTTTTTTTACGACCACTAGTTACCGCCTGCTTCAGTTTTTTAGTACACTGATTAATATGATGAATATCGTAATGGTTTGCCCGAATGAGAGTTTTTTTTTCTCAAGAAATTTTTTCTCAAAATAGTTTTTTTAAAAACGTTCTTTCGGAGTCATTCATTGCAGTATTCCATATTTTGTCATAAACGTTTCTAATATGATCATTCATTTACCATATTCACATCATATGAGCTATTAGACCATTAATTCTCTGATTTTTCGTGGAAAAATATATTCGTTACTATTTTTTTGTTTTGGAAACCTAAAAAATATTTACATGTTTTTAACCCTCTAACAGACATGATTCGTTATTTTAGTATTATCATTAAATATTTTTGTCAGTATGATACGTAACGCGAAAATGGATTCTTACCACCTCCATTTTTAGCACTCTCGTTTTATGGCAGGATACACTCTTCTCGTCTTGATGAATTGGCTGACGCAGCATCAGCATATGGACAAAATTTTAATGTTGACCGTTCGCAGTTGCGCTGCATTGGAACTATTAACATGCGATCAAATTTATTTATTCGTGTTTCGGACTCTACTGACTTACGAGTTATTAAGAAGGTATCATTTTTATGATTTTAAAGAACATTTTTTATTTGTTTGTATTGATTTTAAGAGTGTTCATATTCTTCTGTTCATTGAATATTGCTTTAGATTCTTGATGAATTAATAACCGAAGTTTGCATAATGGATGCTGAAAATGGTTGGCACAGGCGAAATGTTCAACTTGTTTTTCAAAAACGTCAAGAAGAACGGAAGCGGCGGGAATTGGAACAAAGGTGCTGTTTTATTGTCATCTGGTAGGAATTTGTTTTATTCACATTTCTTTTGAGAAAGCAATCATCTATGTTTCAGAACACTGAAAATGGAAAGAGTTGCAGCGCGACGACTTGAAGCTGAATTAAGCGGTCACATCGAGCGGTTTAAAAAAGAAGTGGATAAGAGGCGGATTAAATTAGAAGAGAGAGCAGAAGCTGAGACCGGGATGATTGCACCGTGGCGCAAAGCCCGACTTAAGGCTGAGAAAGGTAAATCATGAATTAATTGGAAACTAGCATATTGAGTCAAATATCATTTTTTAGTTCAGAAATGCGCTCTAGGATATTTCTGCATTGTAAAGCATTTTGATCGGTAGGGAAAAGTGAGATGGTAACTTGAAATTCTTATTCTTCTTTTCATTCATGATTTAACAAATTTTTAGTATATTTTTGTATGAGGTAACACAGACATTAATGTTTTTTTTTAACGTATATTATTTCATTTTTTGTTACAGACACTCATATTCATACTGAATCGAATACGCAGTTACAATCATCAGCAGCTCTGCCAGAGCCAAAAAATAAATTTGAGAGCTTGATTCATACTGTTCTGAATATGGCAAGCCAGGTCTGCCCATAATATCTCTAGCTGTAAAGAGTTATTATATCCTTTTCTGTATAAAGTGAATAGACTTTGGTTTTTGATATTGAGGATGACACGATTTTGTCTCAGAACATGAATAAGCAGTTGTCTAGATCTTCAAAAATGTTGCAGGAAGGATGCAATGAGCAAAGTACATCCCAATTATTATCTACAGATGAGACTGCTACTAAATTAGGTTCTGATTTTCAAAAATCAGTACAACAAGCTGAAGAACAAAGCACCGATGAAAAAACTGTACCTTCTACAATTTCTCTAGAAACTGGTGGAAGTAGTATAACAGAACAGGTATTATATATATTACTCCTATTTCCTTTTATAATTGGAACATCATTCTCATTCAGCCATTTTTAAATTTTGTAATGTATTTTTAAATTGATAGTCAAGTCTAATTATGGTAGCTATTTAAACAAACCAAGATATGCTTCGATAAATTTGTAATTCATTTTGTAAGCGTAGTTCCAATCAAAGCAAGTCTAACAAATTGTTATGTCATTTTGTCAAGTTTATATTATCCTTCAAAAATCGCTCACCAATTATTTTCTCCATAAATTTTTTCAGTCTTCAAATAAATACATCTCCAGTCATACATCAGTGAACGATCATTCTTTATAGATATTTTATTCGAAGATTAACATTTAATCATTCTTGTATTTATATTTCTACAGTCTCAGTCAGCTGGATCTGTGAAATCTGAGCCACAATCACTTCATAATCTTCCTACCGTAGAATCACAAAAAGTTTCAAGGATAAATAAAAAGAATAAGGAACAACAAAGTCATAGTTTGAGCATTGATAATTCATCAACATGGTCTCGACCGAAAAGAGGTAGTTTGAAATCGTTTCCCGATATCGATGTCACAAAACGTCATTGTAAATGCAACCAGCCTTATGATCCAAAAAAGTTTGTATTATTACTTAGTAATCAGTTCTGTTTAACCTATAGTTTGAAGTAAATGAGTGCAATGATTGAATTTTATATCTATATTGTTCAGTGTTAAAATTAGTGGAAGAGGCGCTGTTATTAATGTGCAAAAATAGGGTATCATTAACTATAGAGTTTTATGTCCAGCTGTTGAAAAAAGATAAGGTTGATAGTGAAAATTGATAGATTTGTTATTTTTTAAGCCTATTAAAAGGACTTGTTTTTGATAGAGATTTGAATAATCTGTTTTCTACTAAAAAAATAAGCTACTGGTAGTTTGAATGAGCAGTTTGGTGTCTTATGTTAATGTAATGAACTTGGATAAACAATAATTTAATGGACCATTCTTAACAATGGCGATTTTGAGTAATCTATTTCTATATGTGAAGCTATGTGGAACTAAAAACTAGAAGGAAAATAACAAATCAAATAATATGCTTTTAAATGACAGTTAATTGGTAGATAGCAAAAAATAAGTTTAAGCAACCATTTCTTGGTTATTCAAATATTAGTTGAAGTACATTTTAAAAATGGATATAGCATAAAATCTTAATAAATCATTATAAGAAGCAAGAAGGGAGATTCCATCACTGTATGGCTATTCCAAACAGTTTGACAGCTGTACCATTTGTATGTGTTACAAATAGTATAACAAAGTCAGTGTAATTGTGAGTAAAATACATTTTGGAATTCTTACCAATATTTTCAAGCAAATGTTTCTTTTGACAGGTTTTATGTTGGTTGCGACTTGTGCTATCGATGGTTTCATGGTAAATGTGTTAGTATAACAGAAAAAAAATCAAAGAAAATGACGAGTTGGATGTGTGATGATTGTCATAAAGAACAAAAAATCACGGAAGAGGTTGCTTTTTGTGGCTAACTAATGTGCCCGTATTTTTATATTTTTGTATCGCCTTAAATCTTTCAAACATCTTACTGAAATTTTTCAGTGATACTGCAGAACAATGATTAATAGCTGATTTATATTTAATATCGGTAGTTACGACTATCAACTTTATGTCATTATTTTTTGTAATATATTTTTATCGTAAAACAAAGGTTTGATTCTTGAAACATGAAATCTTTATTCATTTTCTTATTACACGGACTCCATTCTCAGTTTATTAGAATGATATCATCAACTTATGTTGATTAAAAGGCATCGAGATTCCTGCAAATTTTGATTCCGCTTTAATTTAGGAACTTTATTGTGTTTGTCAAACTCCATATGATGATTCCCGATTTTATGTTGGTTGTGATGGATGTGAAGGATGGTTTCATCCACAATGTGTCGGCATCACCAAAGAGTATATATTATATCTCTAAAACTCAATGACATATTCATGTATATCTGTGAATATTTTAATTTATTTTTCCGATTATTTTGAGGCTGTCGTCAAGTACACTCTCTCATCTCAAGTGAAAAGTTATTTAGTTTTTAAAGTTATTTGAAAGTTTATCAAGATACATTTCATAAGTCACTATTAAAAGGCAATTCATGAGTATCTTTAGTCAAATTTTCTTTGAAATGCATTTAACAAATACAGTCAAATCCAGAGAAGCTGAAAAAGCAGCAGAGTATTTGTGTCCTCAGTGCGTAAGAAATAAGCTAACAGACCGCTATTCGAGGGATTCATTATCACCACATACAAAACTCAGTAATGCCCAGTTTGAGCTCTTGTGGCATGTTCTCAATAACTTGAAGGAACACCGCACTAGCTGGCCATTTCGAGAAGCAGTTGATCCAAAAGAACATCCAGATTACTATACACTTATTAAAAAGCCGATGGGTCTGTTCTGATAATTTTATTTTTTTGGTATAAAAAATCTTATCAAACTGGTGTAAATTTTATGTGTAGGCACCTGCAATAGAAAATCTGCTGGGGAATTTAGAAAATATGAAATCATATATAAATTGCAAAATCATAAATCGCAGATTCAGTTACTAAGTGCAGTTATATATATGCATTTTCAGATTTGAACATTGTGCAACAAAAATTAGAACACCGTGAATATCATCATTTAAAAGAATTTACGGCTGATATAACACAGATTTTTGAAAATGCTCGAATTTTCAATCCTAAAGATTCTGCCATATATCAGTGTGCTGATATTCTTGAAAAACAGTTTCGTGGTCGTATTTTAGAGGTTAAAGCTGCTATGGAAACAAGACTTGCTGAGCAGACAGACTAGTTTTTAAAAAATTATGACTATTGCTTGATTTGTTGGACAAAATAATGTATATTGATGACTATTTGAGAAAATTGTAATAAATATGCTATTGAGGACGTATGAAATAAGCTTAAGGAGGAATGGGGATAAAATAGTGAATGATACCAAACATTCTGGAATATTTCTTCAAAATCATTATTCATGCACTGACGTAGAATAATTGAGGGTTTAATTTACTTTGCACATTTAGATTTAAAAAAATGATTATAGTCCTTTGTAGGCGGATTTTCTTGACATTTATATTCTTACTATTTGTTTATATTGTTATTTTGCTGAAAGAAATATTCAAGTGTTAATGAGGATGCTTTTATCCTCTAATTATGGAAGTATACTTTGGGCACAGTGAGTTTGTTGGTGAAATCCAATGTCAGATTATATCGGTCTACCTCATTTCTGAAGTTTTATATTTTATCTGTTTATTTTAAAGTTATGTTTGATTTCGTCTCGTTATTTGTTTTTTAAATCATCAAATTTTCCTTTTTCTTTGTTGACAAATTTGGTGCATTTACATTTTGGTTTTTTGTGTAATGATATAAGAATTTAAGATGCCGAAAATGGAATTGCGTATGTTTTTAATTATATAAAGAAAGTTGTCTACACCTTAGTCTGAAAGCTAGTTGACTCAGTGTATTCAGTAACTTATCATTAGATACTATCTCTTTGCCTATAGTTTAATTGAATATGCGGAAGTTCTCGTTCTGTTCCTACTGCCCCGAATTGCTTTTCTTAATTTAGGCTTTTTCCGTCATTGGTGTATCAGTAGACATAATCTTTATGTAATTTGTGATTGGTGATTACTGTTGAAATGGGTAAGAAGTTCATTGAGTCAGCACATATCGAGCCTGTAGTCACGAATGTGATCACTAAGGTTAGCATTTGTGTTTCCTTCGAACACACTGGCTCTTCTATGTGGTCTGTATAGTCTCATGGTATTCAAGTTATGCAACATCGTTTCAATTAATTTGATATTCGCTGAAATTTCTTTGCTGCAATCTCTTTACATTAACGCAGTCTGTGTTTTATTTGTTTACTGAATAAAAGGGTGTATTGTTAGCATGAATTGATGCAGAGAGTGCTGATCAAATTATTAGTAGGTTGACTTTTTCAGTGCTCAGCAGTCATTCGGTGGAAAAAATCTTATGAGCATAAAGGAATTAGGTAATGTGGTGTTCGGAATGTATAAGTCATGCTTTAAATATAATGGGTGGCTAGATGTTGCAGGAGAGATGTTAATGCAACAAAATGAAATAATTGTTTGTAAGCTAGATGAGAATACAATCAAATTTTAATAAATGTAAGGATGGTAATGTATTGTTTTCGGTTCAGTCAGTTGAAAGACTCCTCGTAGTTACGTTTAGTGAAATGTTCTAGTTGTATTGTATAATACGCTACTAATGGGTCATGAGCATTTGATAATTATGTGGAGAGAAGCTTATAATTAGGGAGTTGTATTCCTGCATAAGCAGTTTGACAAAGCACAGTTTTGCAATATTTAGAGAAGTAAGTAAGCTTCTCAAAGTTAATTACTTCAGTAATTACATCAAGAAAGCGAACGTACTTCGGTATATTCATTTTTTACTTACAATATTGAGTTTTGATTACTCTCTGTTTTGTTATAAACTAATTCCAAATGCCAGTGTTAAATTTAGATAACACATGGTTCATAAACAGACCAAAATTATTCAGGAAAAATAATGCAAGCAATATGGTCAGTCAATGGTAAAAATACATGAATACCATTGAAACTGATCAGCGTTAATTCTTCATATTGTATGATAAAGTACTCTTTCTTGATTTACATTCTAATTGCAAGTACAAAAATTATTCTATCTCTTCAAGTTTTACTTATGGCAAAGTATTCAGATTCCACCATTCTTAAATGATCTAAATTTTTTCAAGAATTTCGACATAATTCATCAAGAACCACTATTATCCTTTCATCACATTCCTAACACATTTTCATCTGTGAAACATTTCCACTGACTAAAATATCATTCTGAATAAAATAATGCATCATTTTATAAATATACTACCGAGCAAAACATTTTTACCTAAAAATTTTATCGTTAAACACATGAAAGTGATAAATTATTCAAAAAATTCAATGTCCATACAGCATTTTTGTGATAATTACAATTTTTGAAGGCAAAATATTAGCAAATTTTATTTCCCTCTCTCATTGTCTTGCAAAATGGATTAAACCAGCTAGGAAAAGCTAAGATTCTAGTTACTTGCAGTGAAAAAAGCGAGTTAAATTTGGAAAAACAGATCAAGTTCTATCTTATTATTATATTGTATGATTGAATGGCAAACGTATGAAATGAAAAAGAGATGCTAATTACTTAAGCAAGGCAAATAAATAAGCTGCCTTAAGTTCTAGAAAACAGACAATAAATAGAGGTTGATATTGTATAAACAAAAGCAAAACAATTTTAAGAAAATGATCGCCTGGGAAGCATATCATGTTATGTTTTCCAAATTAAATTTAACAATCAATCTTAAGCTGAATATTTTGTTTATGACAAAACTTTTTATTATGAATACTGAATATATTCAAATGCATAGTTGAACAAACAATAAAATAATGAATAGGCTGTAATCAATAAAATAACATTATTTGCAAAATAAAAAATCTCGAGCAAAGTAATAGTGATATTGTATCACCCTAATTTCTATTATTATGAATGTGAGAAAATAAATAATAAAACTTATTAGATTATTATTTTTTCGCTCAATCAATTTTTCATTTAAATGAAGTAAGTAAACAAGTTACTTTAGTCATTTAATAATAAAGCATATTAGTCTGGTAAGAGTTCATTTTCCTGAAATGAAATTAATTTTTAAGTAGCTATCCATGTCTATAATTTGCAAAGGTATAGTATGATTACTTAATAATTTTGAGATACGTTAGAAATACAGCATTTTTTTACAGTCCATAATGCCATCAGTATTTGATGTTAACTATGTAAAGGATAATTATGTTTATGATGCAATAACGAATTTTTTGTGCGTTCATTGGGCAATACCTTTGGACTTGCTTGTTTTATACATAGCGTTTAGCAAACGTAATGATAACAGTGCAACGTGGGTAAGTTTTAGACTTCAAAAATTAATAAAAGTAAGAAAAATTTATCATTCAGAAAAGCATGCATTTACGATTTCAAAGTTGTTATGAACAGATGAATTGATGAAAATGAAGTGAATATAATAAATAAATCGTATTCATTGACTTTATAAGTTTTTTGGCAACATTGGCAACAATGAGAAAGTATTCAATGAAAATCACAGGCTTTTTTTTTGTTTTTGTAATATTTTAAAGCATTGCTGTTGTAATAATATTTCAGTTTTCAACGGCTGGAATGATACTTTGTAATTTGATTGGAACTATTTGCTTGTGTTCAATTTATTTATTATATTTAATTTCATGGCTCTGGATAATTCCGATGACTATTTTATTTTGTAGTGTTTGGCGTCAGATTGCTCAACAAGCTTTGGTGACTATGCAAATGTGCATACTGGTTAGCAAGTTATACTTGCGTCTTTACTAGTTTTAAAATAATATTTTTTACGAATAATTGTATTTATACTCACGCAATTTAGTTCATCATTTCGGTATAAATCCGTTATCTAGCAAATACTATACTTCAGATTGTTGCAGTTGATCGTTTCTTGACAATTAAATGCAATTATCACTTGAGCCGAAAAATGATCGTTATTGCATATGTTTTGTTATATACTTATACAGTAAGTTACTTTTCTCTTACAGTCTCATACAACAAATTTTCATCTTTTTTAATTTTTTAAAAATAAAAAAATTTGTAATATGTAATACAGGAAATTCTGAGCATTCTGGCAATTGTATTATTCGGACACATTAGTGACGATGACATCTGTGGGCCTACCTTATCTTTTCCTTATTCATTTGCACAGTATCAACGTGATATAGCTCTTACTGCAATAATTTTAGCACTTATCATCTATGTTTTAATCTTACATCACATTCGAGCTAGTAAGTATCTATGATCTACATATATGAAATCGTAAACTGAAAATCACTTTAAAAATTCAATATGCACTACTACATTTCAGTCTTCAATCTTTTTAATTTGACAATAATTAAAATTTCATATATGATGCTTGATTCATTATGTGCTTTCTTATATAATTCATCTTTTTATCATATCAAAAATTTTTTAAATTGATATTATACCAAATGCGTACAAACATTTGCTGGAAAAATAGTGTAAGAAAAAAAAATTATTTCATTTTTGTAAAAAATAAAGTTAGTTTCTTGAATATGCTGCTATTTAAGTTGTTATTTAAACTACAATTGTGTACTTCCAGAAACAGCAAATGGACAGTATATATCACGCAATGTAATGCGTGCCGTGATTGGTTTATTGCTGCAATGTGTTATATCATTACTGCTTATTATCCCACAAATAATTTTTGAAATACTTCGATTCAATTGTGAGATACTAGTTAATTTGCAAAAAATTGTAGGCGATTTTTATTTTGCAAATTTGTTATTGCAAATTAGTTACTAACTAATTTGCTCTTTATGACAACAATATAGCAATTTTATATTCTTGACATTAATTAATTTCTTTTATATACTATATCGTGACTACAATCATAGATAATTAAAATTTGATATAAACTCGTTATAGATTATCATAAAAGACTAACAAATTGAGGTTTATTAAAAATTTATATTCATGTTAATTTACAAAAATTCCATTACAATTCATTTCAATATGCAGAGTGTAAGTGAAGATTATTCTACTCACTGAGTAAGTTAACCTTCAATTATTAAGTAATTTGAACCAGTTTTGTCATTAAGTATCATTATCTTCTATATTATAGATAACACTGAAGTTCCAAAGTGGTTGTGGATTATTATAAATGGCTTAACATGCACTGGATTTTCTTCAACACCTATGGTGACACTGATTTTTATTAAGCAATGTCGTGAAGAGATAAGACATTTACTGAGAAGAATCTTGTTTTCCAATCACGTTGCCGACGAAGCTTCAATGCCTTCGGCGCCTGGTCGCTCGACTACTCATGGAAATTGGATAAGATGATGCAAAATAATAATGCTAACAAGTTTTATTTATAAAATTCAGAAGAAATGTATTGAAATTGATGACCTTTGCTGCAAGTAAATTTATTGAGTAGATATTTGAATGCTGTTCTAGCTTGAAATGATGGTATTATTTTTTATTCATCAGTAACACATAACAATTTGTGAGAAATTTTGCTTAAAGAAATCAGTTCACATTTATAATTGGAAAACATTTTAAATCTTCTTTTGCTGAGTACGATCACTTTTCAATAAAAAATTTTTGTCAGTTATTATGAAGGAAGAAGAAGTATAATAATAATAATAATAATAGTAATAATAATAATAATAATAATAACATAAATGATAATAATAATAATAATAATAATAATAATAATAATAATAATAATAATAAATAAGTAATAACATTTTAGAAACTGAAAAAGTACAATCAGCAGTTCATTTCTTTGTATTAGTTTTTTCTTTTTCAGGTGGCTGATATTCACTCTTTGCAACTTTGATTAAAAGCAAAAAAAAGAGAGCGGAAATGCTTTGATGTAATGTCTTTATTAAAAATGAAACGTACTGAAAGTGTGATGAAAACTCAGAAATAACATTTCAAAAGAGTAATATTAAAAGCAAACAATTATTTAGAATTCAATTTATCGAGAAGAAATTTGCTATTTATAATAAGAAACAAATCCAACTGAAAGCATCAACTTAATAAAAAATTCTAAATAACTGAGCATGTAATAGCACTCGAAATTATCGCAACTCAGTACATTTCACCTGAAGTATCATTGGGGTTTTCATTTTTTGTGGCAGATGCTTTTGCTTAGCATTGAAAGTGAAAAGACTTTCTTCATTCTGCATTATATGAATACAACTGATGATAGCAGTAAGCATGCTAATGTAAAGCAGATTCACTTCACGCAAATTTAGTCCCTTTAGCATTTTTCTGGCCATTTTTGAATTTTTACAAAAGAATTTTCATGACAACTGCATGCCATTAGTTGGAAATTTTCGAGCGAAAATACCAAAAAGCATGCTTATCTCCTCAACCTGCTTATTAGCCAAACTTATTAGCATAAATAATACACAATTACTTGCACACAGTGAAATTAGTAAACCGTTTTGTTATGCTAGCAGTTATTATTCTCACTGCTTTTACCATTTGAAATTGTCTGATTTCTGAGTGCATTTCATAATATATTAGCAAAAAACAAATACTACTGATGATATTTAGATATTCAATAAAATTATTTAACAAAACCTTACAAATGACTACTTCCATCATTTAAATGCACTTTTTCTCATCACATATAACGCATATAGGTAATTCAAATGCCATGCAAATATAGCAAGACGGATTATTGCATTAATCGTTGCATACAGAAATTTGTCAGATGGTTTTAGGATCAGGAACCCATGATGAACACTTGATTGATGGGTGAGCGTATTTACCTTCGTTGTTGCTTGGGGGTGTTTTTAGCTTTGCATTTTGAATCGTTCCAAATGAGTAATCTGATGCTTACACTAGGTCCTGTACAAAACTCTGTGTATGTCTCTGTATGCACGATGTCCATATGTTACATTTGAAATTCAAATAATACAAATGTTAGAGAGTTTGATTTCCATTCATTCTGTTCAGAGGATGTCGTAAGGTCGGGTCAGTGATATTGAGTTGTCTAGACATTGGTTTGCTTTGTATACTTGGCATTTGAAGAGTGTATTAGTGACCAAAGAAATGTTAACTCTTGTTGAGTGCAGCATTTAAGTTAGAGGAATGAGTGAATCAGTGGAGATAAGCAATAACAGACTGAGATCTTCTTAGAGATCCCAAAAAAGCTTAATATTTATCAGTAGTGACGGATACTTTTCAGTAAAATGTATAACGGTATTGGACTGCAAACTGCTCGTGGTTCTGGCACAAATGGTTACGTGCAGACCAATTTGGCGAATCTTTTGCTTTCTAAGGTTATATTTATGGATTTGTCTTTTAAACAGGAGCAGTTATTTTAAGTGAAAATCGGACTAATGAGCTGCATGAAATTCCAAAGCAGATGTTGAATGACAGCTGTTATTCTTTTGTCGTATTTATTTTTGCTGACCTTTTGAGTGTATCGGCGCGTGTTTGTATGAATATTGATCAAAATTTGTCTTCTGGTAATTTCTGCTTGAAATAGTCATACCGTAGTCATTGTAATAATTATTATCATTCTTGTGTTCCATCATCTTTACATTTTCCATTCATGAGGTCAAAAGACTAAAGCAGTTTCTTAATGAATTAGCTAGCATGAGTGTATTCTAACGATAATTGATGAGCATATTTTGACTAAAAACACTCAGTCATTAGGTCATTTGAAATTGTTTGTTCGAAATCATACGTAAAATTTAGAAACGGGTTACGTACAATTCCGAAGCAGATATAAAACGAGCTGAGGCTGAATTAAACAAAGAGCCAAATAAGGAACTTTTGGAACATAGACGTAAGCGACATATTGAGTTGAAATGCGCTGACTTTGAGCTGTTAATGGAAAATAAGGTAATTTTCGGCATAATTTTTCATTCATCCGAACAGTTTGGGTTCGGTTGAATGAAAAATTATTGATTTACAAACTATTACGTGACTTGTATCACTTTTTTTTTCAATGGGAAAGTTGGGTGGGTAGGCCAACTTTTCATTTCATTGTTTAGTTGCAGCTATTTCATATCATCAAAATAGGTCGTAGTGTCTTTCCAAGAAGACAGTGCGTGATTGATTAGTGCGTACTGTTCCAAATTTATTTTGCTACATGCATCATTAAAATCTTGTATATCCAGTTATCTTTATTTTTGTGTTTTATGAAATTTTATACGTTACATTTTATAGTCTTTCCAAAGAAAGATTTTTAGTAAGCATAGTAAAATACCACAAAAGTGATATGGTTAATTCTTCCCATTTACAAGTTTGCATTGTTGTCAGTTTGTGTTTGAAGTAAATTTCTGTATTCTACCGCTCATCTTGTTTAAAATCAAGCTAATTATAGTGACGTAGACAATAAATGAAAAGCAGTCAATGTTGCATAATGTTTTATGTGCATATATCGGATTCGCGCGAAGTAGGGTTGAGTTACTGCTTGTCAGTGAATCAGATTGTAAACTAGTACTCATAGCACTTAGTTATTTCCTTCTCTTCAAGAAGTTAAAGTTCTATCATTTTCAGGGATTTCATAGTGCTGAAATCGAAGCAAAAGTTAACGAGTATCGGAGTCTTCTGCAAAGTCAAGTAGAATCTGGAGAGTTAGATTTGGATGCAGAAATGGACATTCGAGATACACATGTTCGTAACAAAGTTGCAGTTGAATATCGTAATCGTATGCGAGCTGCTCTTGGTATTGAAGATACTTTTGTCGATGGAACATCTTTCGAGAAGTTTGTTTTGCTATTCGATGTAATTCCACTGGTTTTTACATTTCTATATTTGAACCTAAAAATTGACTTATAAGACTAATCTACTCGCCTTAAGCTTTAATGGTTTTCTTTCACAAATACATGTTGTGGTTTGTTCGGTTTCGTCGGAAATTATTCACCAAACAACTGTGATGCATAATTGATTTTCAGGCTAAATAAGAATGCTAGCACGCAAGATGAACCTAATGACGACTCTAAGAAATCAGAAGATAAAAAAAATGTAAATTTCTTGCACTGAATGAGAAATTAAATTGTTTGTGCTCAATTCATTACATTTATTGTCTTCGAAACCTTTTGGTCGAACATGGCGTTAAGCAATATTGATTTATCAAACTTAAGTTCCATTTGCAAAGTTGTCTATTGTTCTTTGTCTTTATATTTCTTTTTGTTTCACCTAAGCAACTCTGATTCGATCTTTTGTAGCAGACATCACGAAAAGCAGTGTCATCGTCGTCATCATCTACAGGTTCATCATCGTCAACTGACTCATCATCATCAGAAGATTCATCGTCAGAAGACTCAGATTCTAGTTCAGGGAATGATACTTCATCAACTTCAACAGATGAATCTGAGGGTACTTCTAGTGAAGATTCTTCTGGATCAAAAAAAAATCGTAAGCGTTCAGAGAAAGGAAAGAAAAGTAAAAAGTCTAGTGAAAAGGAGCGTCCACGAATTCGGGATAATTCGTAAGTTTTTCGTTCATATAAGAGAGTCTTCTACTGGGATTATCTTCTTTTTCTTAAATGTTTATATGCAGTTAATCGGGAAGACACATAATTATGCTCAAGCACAAGTTTTTTGTGAGGAATTGCCTCAAGTTCAAGTACGGTTATTAAAAACAACTTGTAATGCATTGTTCTCAGAATTGGATAGATGAAACACTGGAATTTCAGCTCGTCTTTTATTTTTTGAAAATTACCTTATTTTAGAAGACATTCTCGGCGTTTGCGTAGTCGACATGATGATGATGATGATGACGTCGACATGCCCGAGTACAGCAAACGAAGAAAGCATAGTTCATCTAATTATTACGGTGATCGACATCGCCGTCGTGGATCTCACAATGGTAGACGTTATAGTAGTCGGAGGTAGCTAGCATACTTTGAATTATGCTTTTGTTTGCTATAAAAAAAAATGCACGGACGTATCTGTTATAAGTTTTTAAACTCGTTTTTCTATTTCTGGTAATTCTTATTTGTTTTGTTTTTTTTACACGAACAGTATTCATGCTTGTCTCATTTTCTTGGAAGTTTTATCTGAGTTTTATGGTCTGTTCAGGCGCGTTTATTTTTCATTACTGCATGTATTGTTTTTTTAAACTTAGTTTTATCTTTTATGATGTCTGTTATTGTATTTTATGCTGAATCCTAATGTGCATCGTATTATAGCGAGCAAAATGCCAAACAGGGTAAGCAATGAGGGTTATAAAAAGCGATCTCAGAGAAGGAATCCAGACTTCCATAATATGAACAAGAGTCTTGTTGATTACGTGAAAATTGTCAAATTAAATTGTGCAGCATCATTAATGGTCCAAATGTTTCAGTGAGAAATTCGAGTTGACTAACAGTATATGAAAGTATTTTATTCGTCAATAAAACTCTTGAAAAATTATGAGTAGTCAGGTTTGCTTGATTAAATCCACAAATTTATGGCTGTGTATGTGGAAGTGATATGTTGTGAAATTGTGGCTCGTGGAAAAGAATCCTTCATGTGAAAATAATAAAGTTTTAAAGCGTTGTTGTTTTAGTTGTTTTTTCTTTTAATTATTTGAGCAGTTCCTGTTCGGAGCAATTTTTTGGCGAGTATTTGTTGTATGAATAGTATGTAGTGACCGCAGATGTCTCATGGTAGGCCATACATCGTTGTGGTCTCATATTTGTGGTTCTCATGTTTTAATAAGATTACTTTGGTGTAGTATTTCGCTCCTGCACTGTATTTCTATCAGGAGGAAATTGTGTCTTAATTTTATTAAGCCTTGAAATTAAATTGAGGTGTCTACTGTCTGTAACTGGTGTTAAGGATGTTCCTTCTTTTTTGTTTTTTTTTTCATTTAATTCACTCCATCATATATTTATACTTATGTTTCAAAAATTTGCATTTTTCCACATCTGCACATGGAGAAAGATGGAGTTTAAGTTGTGTATTTGATGGCGGGTATGGGACAGTTTGGATCAATGTTTTAGAGATCAGTGTCAGGGGATTTCTATTTTCATTGTTTCAATCACATACTCAGTATGTCGATAAGCATTTGGATTAATAGTCTCCAGTATGATAAAAATTAGTTTTGTAAAGTGTTAATGTGGTCTTTTAACTTTTTTGTCCTACCGTTTTCAAATGAGGACTATACAAGGCTCTCCTAAAAGCTACGCGCTCGTCTGCATATTGCTGCAAATAGAATAGCAAGGTTCAGGTGACGTTGGGATCAAACCCTGGAATATGTAATCATAGTTCACGAATGAAGTCATTCAGTTTTCATGATTGGATGAGAATTAGAGTTTGCCTTATGCTCTTCGACTTCAGAACAGTAAGTAAGTAACCATGGAGAGCACAATCAGCGCTGATTCAAGCTTGAAGTGGAATGTGGGTAGGTGGTAATGTTTTAAGTTAGGTGGAAGTGGTGAGGTAAATGAATATGATTTGGATTTCATCTAGTAATGTATGATTGATGAATAATTGTTCATGTGCAATACTAGATTGATGTCGATCGTAATCAGTTCCTGAATTGAAAAATTGTAAACAGCTGTATGCTTTGGTCACGAAGCATTATTATCATAATTAATGCGAATGATTGGTCTAGGTAGTCAGTGCGTACGCAACAAAAATAACCACAATCCAGCTCTCTAAGTGAATTGATGCAGGAAAAACTGATGAGTATTATACAATAATATGATCAGTTGAAGTGAGTTTTGGGGGCAGTAATCTGTATATTTTAAATAGACCGATCGGAATTATGAATTCTCACCACGTTACAGAGATGAAAATTACTTATTTTCAAATTGCATGAAAAACTGTAGGAAGATGGGATATAGTCGAAGAGCACTTACAAGGAATGATAGAATGGAAGCGTAACAAGGACAAGATTAATGATATGATTTTGGAAACGCGCCATCTCATAGCTATTACCGTAGATTTGGAATATGACTTTGAACAAAAGTTTGTCTTCATTATTTCTAAACGTAAGATAATCTAGGTCGAAATTATTCAATCAAGGAGTTGTTAATTCATTGTTAAGTTGTCGTTAAGTAGCAGTATACAAATTCTCTGTTCCTTCCGATTCCAATGATTGCGTTTCTCCACAAGATAAGGGAGCATTTTCTTTGTATGTTTGGTCACAGAGATGCAAAATTTATCATGAATTTCTTCATTATATCCATAAAGAAAAATTTATAATATTACAATAAAACTGCGATGTTTCCTTGAAATTTTGTGGTGTTTTTAACGAGATCATGCAATGGTAACCAATAATTACAGATACGAAGTGCCGCGAAAAACATTGCCATATAATGTGTTGTTTACTGAATAAAAGCAACACATCACCTTATTAGCAAGCTACTTTCTACCACATTACTTTATTTATATTGTAACTTTGTGACAGAAAGCTTACAGTTATGATATGAAAAGATGTTTATATGGAAGTAAATGTTTATTTTTTTGCAGACTTTAGCATTCTGTCGGCTTATCACATCATATAGCGATTCAATAGTAGCTACTTATTTCACTCTTTTCTTCATTAGTGATGTTCACCAAAGCAATGTGATATCACTTGGCCCTTGATATCACAAATTTGCTTGAAAAATTGAAAACATCGAGGGTGGCACCAGTTAATACTAAATAACTCATGGGTGGTCTTGTTGCAAAACTGAAAACGAGATCGTAGGTGCATAAGCTTTCTTCGCCCTTTACTCTGATGATGAAAAGGTTGAAGATGTTGTTTCTCACTTGCATAATTTTATTCATTTCACACAGTCAACAACATCATGGGTGGTCGTTGAGTATATCGAAAAGTGACATTTTAAGCAAAAAAAAGCAACACCAATCGTCTATGCAATAACTAAGTACTACATTGTAGCCTGGATGGTATGTTCTAAAATACTCCACACAGCGCTTAGAGTTATTACATTTGACATACACCAACGAAACTGCTTGTGTGGTCTATCAAATTTGCAATATGACAGCATCACTACTACTCAATGCACGGACATCGTTGGTGGTCTCAACTAAAAAAGTCATTGGCAAAACAGCAACTATCGAACATCTGTCCATCACGTTTTATCTCTCATCTAATCTTGCACACATGCAAGCAAGAAAACTTTTCTAAGCGTGAAGTGGATATACCACCAATGGTTGCAACTCAAAAGTGTTTCCTTTCCAACAGACTGATGAGCAATAGGTAGCGTAACTGCGTATTTCTATTATGAACAATATAGTGATGGTCCAATATTCTTGTTTCGATGAAACTTCGCTTGTGGTCCGATTATTAGGAGATAGTTCTTGGAATTTCGTTGGTGGCCATATCCAATGCTAGATCAGTCATATTTTCGAATGATAAGAAACTTTGTGGTAGGTCTACCGCTATAAAAACATTGATGGCGGCGTTGCAAAGTGCTTTTGTCAATTTAACGAAATCTCTTATGGTGGTCTGATGGACAGATCATCGTGGGGGGTCTAAAAACACTAATACCGTATCAACTCTTACAAAACGCGCCTATTCGAACGAGAAAATCTGTGTTACCGGTATGATCACGAGATCAATGTGAAGGGTCTCAAAACATTGTTATCGTACCTCGCTAGTGTACGCGCCAATTTGAAATCAAATTTTTTGTAATAGGCATGATCACCAGGTCAATGTGAGGCCTCATAACATTGTTATCGTGTCTTGTTACAGAACGCACCAACTTGACTCGAATTTTATGCTATCGGTCTGATAAATGTCAGGGGTCTCAAAACATTGTTACCGTATCTTGTTACAGAACGCGCCAAGTTGAAATCAAAATTTTTTATTATCGGTATGATCACCAGGTCAACGCGTAGGGTCTCAAAACTTTGTTACCGTACTTTGTTACACAACGCGCCAAGTTGAAATCAAAATTTTTTGTTATCGGTATGATCATCTGAGCAACGTGAAGGGTCTCAAAACGTTGTTACCGTAACTTTCTACAAAACGCGCCAAGTTGAACTAAAAATTTCTTGTTATCGGTATGATCATCAGATCAATGTGAAGGGTCTCAAAACGTTGTTACCGTATCTTCTTACAAAACGCGCCAAGTTGAACTCAAAATTTCTTGTTATCGGTCTGATAAATGTGAGGAGTCTCAGAACATTGTTATCCTGTCTTGTTACAGAACGCGCCAAGTTGAACTCTAATTTGAAACATAATTTTGAATATGTAAAATAACCTCAAATTCGGCT